ATGTTCTTAATTTGGATTGAAATTCGAGTTTAATGAGTTTATAGGGAAATTTTTGTTTCCAGGCTGAGCAGGGAATATAAGTAGAATTCAGTGAACAATACCTTTAAGGGCGATTTTAAAATTTGCGCTGACCTGCATGAAGTCCTGAAGTTCTCTAGCTTCAGCCTCTGCCTCCTGGAGCTGTTGGATCAACGTCTTCTGAGCTGCCATCGATCTATTCAATTTATTTATCATTAGTATTATTTTTAAACATTTCAGTTTAGAAGAAAAGATCTGATAACTTTCCACATACTCTAATTATCTATACCATATTTCTTTACATCCTGATGTCATATTTAAATAAATAATGAATTCTGTGTAATCAACTAGCTTGAAGTATCCAAGGACATCAGGTTGCAAAGATATAAGGATTATAAGATCAGAGCTGAAAACTTTATAATCAGATATCCTTAAATCCCGATTACTTAATCGGAGTATCCAATGGACACACTTTTGATTTTCTTCTGAAACCGTTCTTTCTTGGATATAGAAGAGAAAAATCAAAAACCGGTTTTTCTAAATTAGAGAGTTCCTCCCATTTCTGTATATAATCTTAAATGGCGCGTAAAATTTCAAATTTATTGGCTTCACATACACGACTCTGATTGGTTGAATTTTATACGCTTTTCAGGATACAAGTACTACAAGATTAGATTAGTCTCGACATTATGAAAAGAGAGGATCTCGCATTAATCTCGATATCCACCATTCTAAAGTTTTCAGCTAAGGGCAGAAATAATTTTCAGTTTTTGACATGCGGATTTGTATAATCCCCTTTCGAGGATTTTCATGCTCAACATTCTATATAATAAAGCTCTTCGCTCATATACATATGTCCGCTATAGCTGGCCTAACGGCTGAACATTTATATTATATATTTCGAATGTTACTAGTGCCTGATCTAACCTGTCAAGTTCTCTGGATTGTCCCTGGATAGTTTGACCGGCAGCTGTCAGCTCCTCCTGGAGTTCACTTTCAGTACTTTCCCGTCTTTCTAGCTCAACCTATAGACGGTACAGTACACAATATATCTATTACTTACATTACAGAACATCAAGTAATATGTCTTGTAACTAAATGGTCCAGTGCGTTACGACGGAGTAAAAATAATTGTAATGCATGCATAACGCATATTGGGCTCAGTCCCAATATAAGATTTTTGTACCACCGCCTCAACCCCCTCTTAATTTTGTATGTATCAACATATCTAATTGATTTGTACATGCCCTAGATTTCAACTAATTTCAACAAAGCCTATCCTAGGAAATTACTGCATTTTGTTCAGTACAATAAATCTTTGTAAAGAACATAACAGTTAAGGACAGTATAATCCAGAATGCTGTAGTACAGTACAGTACAGTACAGTACAGTACAGTAAAAATTAAGTAAAGTACGGGTTTGAACGTTGCATTACAGTTTATTAGAGCAGTGCAGTACAGTTCAGCAGAGTACTGCGCAGTACAGCACAGAAAAGTGCAGTACAGCACAATACACTACAGATATAAGTGCAGATATTAAAATACCAAAAAAAAGATTTGCAAATAAGAAAAAACTTCTATATTTCTTATATGCTGTATTCAGTTTTGTGTCATTTAACTAACCTGAAGTTGGTTTAGGGTTTGATCTCTTGTCTCTAGTTCCTTCTCTACACTATCCATCCCAGCCATGATACCCCGTACACGTTCATGGTTCCTCTCCAGGTCCTGCTGTATACTCAACCTAGATATTAAAGAGACTGTAAGCGTAATTTAAATGACCCTCCATGCAAAGATGGCAATGCCCGATTTACAACGAAACCCTTAAAAGCTTTATCTAATCATTGAACTAGATATCAATGTTTATAACTTTGAAAAATAACTATTTTCAAATGGGGTTTCTCAACACTCTACAGTGAACATTGAACAAAAGTGACTTCGGATATTGCCATCTTTTCAAAAATGTCCATTCAAAATATCGCTTTCCTCTGAGTAAACCTTAAAGAAAGGTCAACAAATTCCTTCTTAAATCGAAAAAATATTTTTGCTAAATTACTATATTTATTTTTATTGACCTGCATGTTTGTTCTTCTTCTAATTTAACTCTAACATTCTTCAATTCCTTCTTTAGTAACTCATTCTCTGTAGATTGAGCCTTCAATCGTTCAATCTAAACAAATATAAAATTCAAAAATTTATTGTAAACTTCCAGCTTTGAGCAAATGTGCTAAAAAGATTAGGTTCCAGATATTTTCTATAAAAAGCAGGGTGTTATTTTTGTATATGTTTTATACGTATGTACGTCACATAACTTAATAATATTTTTTACTGGTTCTACCTCTCTCTGGAGTTTCATGTTCTCCAGGGTTAGCTGTCTGTTCTTCCGGTCATCTGCTGGTTCAGTACTTGTCTCTACCTGGAGTAACAGTTCGAGATAAATAATAATATAAAAATGAACTTTTTACTTTGTCACATCTTAATTTAAGACCGTTTTGCCTATTCATAGAATCAGTCTCAAAGGAGTCCTGTGAAGTAAAAACGTGATTATCCATTAATAGGGTGGCATGCTCAATTCACAACGGTACCCTTCAAAGCTGGTTTCTTTATACAATTTTGCGGATTACAACTATCAAGTATTTAATTGCAATTACCAAAAAGAATAAAAAAAAATAATTAAAATAAAAACAGAAATTAGAAAAGTTAGAAAAAAAATAAAATAAATCTTACATGCGTAGTTACAGGGTCGGTATCTTCTCCCAACAATTCGGGTAGCCAAACCTTACAAGCAATCTTAGTTTCAAGCAATCTTAGTTTCAAGCAATCTTAGTTTCAAGCAATCTTAGTTTCAAGCAATCTTAGTTTCAAGCAAGCTTTATTTCAAGCAATCTTAGTTTCAAGCAATCTTAGTTTCAAGCAATCTTTATTTCAAGCAATCTTAGTTTCAAGCAAGCTTTATTTCAAGCAATCTTAGTTTCAAGCATTTTTATTTTTAAGCAATCTTAGTTTCAAGCAAACTTAAATTCAAGCAATCTTAGTTTCAAGCAATTTTAGTTTCAAACAACCTTTAATTTAATCTTAATCAAAACCGTAAAAATCATATGAAGTTAGAAATGGTCTTAAAAAGACGATAACAGCTGTTTTTTTCCCTTCATATTATCAACTTTTTAGATGTTAACGTTTTTTTTCTTAAATTACCTCTATCCGTTAAATCGAGTTTACAACCCGTACAGGGTTACCCGTACGGGTAACCCTGTAGACTTTAGAGACGACTGTACGGAATTTATAACGTCTATTTTTTCATATTCATGATTTTCTGCAATTGTTAACTTGTTTCTTTCTTTTCCAAATCATTTAATCAACCATTAAAAATAAACTTTAATTTAACCTTAGAATTTTCATATTTTAATAGATTCATGCCATCTGTATAGTCTCATTCTTTGTGGGTACCACTGTAGTTAAAAATTGAACCAACCCCCCCTCCTAACTGTGAAACTTATTGTTTGTATTCCATTATTTGTGAATAATTCTAAAGAAAAGAAAATATAACAGAAAGTAATAAAACATAACGAAGATAAGGTTTTGTCCTTAAACATTTAAATTTTTTTTTGATCAAGCACAGAAAAAAAGGGATTTGTTTAACACTGATAACTGTATACCTGGAAGTGAACAACCCCAGTAGATGATTGGATTTTATCTTCTCCGTCCATATCTAACCCTGAATAATATTTTTAAAAGGGGGCAGGATTGATGGTTATCCTTTAACATTTGATTCAATGAGGAACGAATATAAAAAAAATAGAGGAAAAAATGTCAAATATTTATCTCAATGTTTAATATCTATTACGAAATGGAATCAATGAAGGACAAAGAAATGATAATATAAAATATTGGTTCTCTGTTAATTATTTTTTTAATTGCATCTCACTTAATGTTTGATTAATTCCAGGGGTGTATTTTTTCCTAAAAAAATCTTTGGAGGGAATATCAGTTGGGAGGAAAAATATATTTTTTTTAAATATGATTTTTCGAGAAAATATGATTTTTCTAGAAAATATAAATATAATTTTGTCATGATCTAACCTGCATCTAGAGTAAGCTGAGTTTGAACTGTCCTCGACTTCTTGACAATCCTAGCTCCGCCCCGTGAGGCGGAGATAGAGCGGCGGATACCCACCCTCTCTAGATGTGCTCCAGTAGCACTCCTCTCCGCCAATCCTAGTAAACAAACTTTAATTTAGAATTCAAATCGATCAGATCTAAATGTAATATTTACAGTTTCTATTTGTTTGTTTGTGTCCAATTAGATTAAAAATGTTTATTACCATTAATATTTTCTCTTCTGTGAAATATAAAGTGTTCTTATTTTAAAAATACAAAGAGAAGCTAAAAAGCTATAAAATAGATTGTTAAATAATATTGGTACAATGGAACAAAGGATTTTAATAAATGATCCAAAGGGAACACACCATGCACTTAGAAAGGTATTTATCAAAGGTGTCCATTGTAAAGTAGCAATTAACAAACCAAAACATCTAATTTGGTTGAATTTTTGATTCATCTTAGGTTAGTAGTGTTAGTTTAAATAAAGAAACAAATATGTTATTCTAGTTTATGTATGCTTTAAACGGCCATAAATTAAACGTATAAAATATAGTTTGGATAACATATAGATTTAAAAGGAATTGAAACAACCATTATGTCATGTATTTCTATTTTTTTCCAGTTATATGCCTTACACAGGGGTCCAGATAATTCCATTTCTGATCCCAAATGGGATTAGGGTTGAAAGTACATTTAGGGCCAGGAAAGTACACTTTCTGTGTCATTGTGAACTTTGGCAAGTTTGTTTGTGTACGTTGGCCTATGTTGTTTTGCTCAATATCAGTGTTTTCCCTTCAACAAGTAAATTTTTTTACCGATTTTGATGATTTCAACGTTTCTGAGTTCAGTGTCTCAATACGGATCTTTAAATTTTGTCTTGTGTTAAAATTTTTTTTTGGCGCAAGGCAATTTTAATATGCATAACAGTTTATTCCTATTCCGAGTGAAAAAAGTGCAATTAAAAAATCGACCCCACACCCTGATGTTCAGGGTCGTAACCGGAGGAAGGCGGGTGCAACGTAAGAAAGACTGAATGAAAGATCAAATTTAAAGTAAAATAAGGACATGTTTACTGTGTAAGTTGGCTCTGTCCCTCTAACCCTGTATGCCACATTATAAAAACTTCCAGTTATATGCCTTACACAGGGGTCCAGATAATTCCATTTCTGATCCCAAATGGGATTAGGGTTGAAAGTACATTTCTGTGTCATTGTGAACTTTGGCAAGTTTGTTTGTGTACGTGTAGTACACTTCAAAAATGTGTGCTGCATTTGTGTGTTAGAAGATATAAATATTAGTATTTAAAATAAGAGATAATTATGATATACAGAAAAATAAACACTCCCTTGCAGTAAACATTTTTCAGAATGGAATTTTTCTACAACTTGACATAATACTTCCAACTGTTTACAACAACAATATGGGTTAGTTTCTGCCCCTACATTTGGGATCGTATTAGATGGAATTATATGGTCCCCTGGCCTTATAATATTAAGTGTACTGGGTTTTGTCTAAATAATTGAGACAAGACCTAGGTCCAGAACTCAGGTTGGGAACTATATGGTACCATGGCCTTATAATATTAATTGTACTGGGTTTTGTCTAAATAATTGACAAGACCTAGGTCCAGAACCCAGGTTGCGAACTATATGGTCCCCTGGCCTTATAATATTAATTGTACTGGGTTTTGTCTAAATAATTGACCAGACCTAGGTCCAGAACCCAGGTTGCGAACTCAATTTAAATATTATTTTTTTTTGAACAGAAAAACAGAGGCTTTGTTTTTAAAGATTCATAAAAAAGATCCCGATCCATTCTAAAAAATTTCTGGAAAAATAAAAATTAGCATTGATTTGGCGCTCTGGTCGTGGTCAAACATTTCTAATATGATGAAGAAAAATATTTCTCTGGGTGGAATAATTGTATAAAAAAAGTTAAACCCCTGAACATGAGAACGGATCTTGATACATTCTTGATCCATTCTACTCCGGGAGACAGCATGGATCCGGCTATAACAGGTTAAATCCCAAAGCTCTGATTAGATAGGAAGCAAAGGATCACACCATTAAACCTCGTAGATGAAAACTAGATCCAAGACGTTTAGGTCCAGCCCTGGTACACTTCTCACAACGTAGTCCTCGCCCAACTTACAATTAGGATTTTTGCTTTAAAAATATTTTTTTTTCATCTCTTGATTATACATTGCTGAGATGTATCAGGCGTGTAAAATGAAAAAAATGGAAAACATAAAAATTGGATATCAAAAGGCAAGTTTTGTTCATTCTTTTTATTACCACCCCTCAACCCCAAAAAAACTTTGATTTTCAACTGAAAACCACTAACTTTAAGCGCAGGAAAGTAATTTTATTAATACCTTGGTTAGCTGAGGTTGGATCTGTTTCAACCGCTTTCTTTGTTCGTCTACAAACAGATATAATAGATAGAATAGATAGAATAGATAGAATAGATAGAATAGATAGAATAGATATGATGATAAACAATACAAATCTATCAATGATTCATAAACTTTATTGTAAATAAGATTAACAATGTGAAAGACGGAACAATGGTGTTGTGAATCTCGAGATCAAACATTGTTTAGTTAAGTTCAGTTTATGAACTCCTACTGTTCTATGAGTTACAGTGGTTAACATAATAAATTGCATTAGAAGTTTCTTTATTCTTCTGTTAGTAAATTAAGGCAGATTTAATGCATGTACGCACTAATAATATAAAGTATGATTAATATAAAATATTGGTTCTCTGTTAATTATTTTTTTAATTGCATCTCACTTAATGTTTGATTAATTCCAGGGGTGTATTTTTTCCTAAAAAAATCATTTTCCCCCCATTTATTCGTTTATTTTCCACGTGGACGTTATGTATGGTTGCGCGGAGCGGTAAATTATTTTTTTCCCCAATTAATTTAAGACACCCATTTAAAATTCTTAAATTTTGAATAAAAAATACACCCATTTTAAATTCTTTTCACTGATCCTTAAGTTCAAAGTGCCCACATTGGATGTCGAGATCAAGCATTTAAGATTAACGATATTTTACACAAAGTTCCAATCTCCAAGTTAAAAAAAGATAATAATAAAATATACAAAGCATTAAAAATATGTTATATGTAAACTAGAAGAATAAGAATTTAGTAAAAACAACTAGCTGGTCTTGACCAGGAGAAAGAAAACTTAAAAAAGGACTGTAGAGTGTAGACGTAAGTTCAAATGAGCCTAAGAAGAGTTTCGTATCCGATTCACAATGGCATTCTTAAGACTTCTAAATTCATTACGAAGGCTATTTACAGTTAGGACTCTAGGTGTTTATACTTTAAAGATGATCCGAAGAAAACATTCAAAATTGTACATTTTAAAGTCTATTTACAAAATAAAAAACATTTATTTTCCCCGTCCAGCGATAACCCCTGAAAAGGTTACGCTAAGTATTGAAATAAGAGTTATTTGAAATAACGTTGAGAATCCCTTTAAACATATTTGTAAAGGGAACATACCTGAGTGAGCTGGTATAGAGATTATTTCTATCTCTAGAATTGGCGACTGCTTTCTCTGGTTCCTAGAACAGAAACAAATCTATTTTGGAAAATCAGATTTTGAGACGGATAATGTGGATGATATCATCAGTATGATTAATGTGCTTCTGTGAATAAGGTGTGACGCAAATCCATTTTAAGACGTCAGTTGCGGAAAGTAACGGGTGGGTCAAGCTAAACAAGATGTATTGCAAAGTAAAGTTTGTAACATAAAATTCGATGTAAAACCGAAACTTATGAGATTAGGCGCATTATTATTATTATTATTAAAGGACAACCCATCATTCAATGAAATAGGGGTCGGCGCTCCTAGCCGCCGAAACGTATATTTTTAAAATCTTAGAAAAAGATTTAAGTTATACTTAACGCAGGAAGATAATGATCCTGACTTAATCACATTGAAATCATCTTAAAAAATCAAGTTACATGCATTCAAAAGTTCTTATCTCAGGATCAGGATTAAGCTGTGAATAAAGATGAAGATCAACCACATTTTTTTAATTAAAAATAATAAAGTACTTCCACGCAAGTAGAAATACTAGATAACTAACCTTGAAAGATTTACTCCTAACTGCTGGATTACTGACTCCTGGTTTAGTCTCTAACCTACTCCTTCTCCGATCCTCAGGAGCTCCTGGAGCTTTAAACTCTTCATCCTTCTTCACTTTACTCCCGATAGAGAACCTGATCATACATAAAAAAATTATTATATTATTCAAATCTATTTAGTTCAAAACATACATTTTTTCATTCATAGTACTGAGACTGATAATATATCTATATTGCACATTTTGAAAAGATATTTTAATAAAAAATTTCAAATTTTTAAATCGGAAGCTCTGCAGTCTGCACTCATGTATAAAAATGAAAAACTGTGATAGCAGCGCGATATTTACGTTTAAACATTATCTTAAAACAAAACTTAGATAAAATTCAAAGCATAAGATTAAACACGTCTTTTCTGAAATCCTGAAACCAAATTTTTTACTAAAATTTATTTAACAAGAAAAATCCCCCCAAAAAAACAGTTTTTATTAAATAACTAAAACACAAAAAAATGAAATCCTATGCTTTACACTTAGGGAAAAAATTGAGGTGAAAAGAGGCAAAAATACAACGAAAACGCAAAAAATAATAATAAAAAACCACGAATAAATTAACGAAAACAAAAATAATCCAATACTCGAAGATTTTAAAACCAAAATATTTCAAATTTATTTACGAAAAAAAATTAATACATCTGCAATGTTATATCCCATACAAACTGATTTCTTCTATTTCAAATCAAATCAAATCAAATCAAATCAAATCAAATCAAATCAAATCAAATCAAATCAAATCAAATCAAATCAAATCAAATCAAATCAAATCAGAGTTTAAGAAATGTCCTACACCCACACGCCAAAGTGACTATACTAAATCAATAATGAATCAATAAAAGAAGAGACGTTTAACTTGCTTGAATCCGAATAATTTTAAAACTATTCTGTACATAAATGAAATGCAAAAGCATAAATTCAAAACATTTAAAATGTTATTGAGCTGAAGAGAAAGATATAGTTGTAGAATTGATGATTATTGAACAACGATGAACCAATTTTGCATGAACCAATGAAACTGGAGTAGGATAAAAACTGTGATCATATAAACATTGTGAAATCTTTAAAAACCTTAATGCACAATCCTTCATCATAAGACATAAGACAAATTTAGGCTGGCTCTTCGAAATTGGTCACAAAATAGGTATTGAATCTATTTTATGTCCCTACTTCTTGTCACCGTAAACTACAACAGTGTAGCCCAGTGTTAAGCGGCTACAAAAGCAGTCCACCAGCTTCATTATGCCCTCATAATGCCTGGCTGGCGTTTTTTTTTAAAAATCGGATAAACATTAATATTTGTTCCATGACTACTGGAAATGAATATGTGATTAATGCCACCCTGTATGTTTGCAACATATAAAACATCAGCCCTTAAACCTATAAACTGTTTTTAAGAAATAAATATTTCAATTGAAAAATATACTCCTGAGAAACAAGAGACGAAGATTAAAGAGAAAATCTAAACTTAAACCTTGACATTTTCCGGAGAGTTGTTTTCAACATGGATCCTGTTCCTGTTGGTTTTACAGAAACAGCGGAACCATTCTGCTAATTATTTATATTTTCTTTCCGATTTTAAAACCGCAATTTGGTTGTTTGTAACAGATACGTCAAAACTGCAGAACCGATCGGGCCATAACTTTTTGTGGGAGCTCACATGATCCCAGGGAAGGTTTATGGATGGTTAGAAATGAAAAAAATTGCACTAAATTTTCAAAATCCACGAAAAAAGCGAATATAGCAACAATTAAAAGTTAAGGCTGGGCGCGAGAAAGCTTAGTTATATAAAAATTATTAAATTTTTTTTTATTGGTGAGAGTTTAAATGTTGTAAACAAAAATAAAATCTTGTTAAAATTAATGAGATAGAATAAATAAGTAAATTATTAAAGGGACTGTAAAATAAATCATTAAAGAGACTGTAAAACTAAATCATTAAAGGGACTGTAAACTAAATCATTAAAGGGGCTGTAAACTAAATCAATATAGGGCTGTAAACTAAATCATGAAGGGGACTGTAAACTAAATCATTAAAGGGACTGTAAACTAAATCATTAAAGGGACTGTAAACTAAATTATTAAAGGGACTGTAAACTAAATCAATAAAGGGCTGTAAACTAAATCATGAAGGGGACTGTAAACTAAATCATTAAAGGGACTGTAAACTAAATCATTATAGGGACTGTAAACTAACTCATTAAAGGGACTGTAAACTAACTAATTAAAGAGACTGTAAACTAAATCATTAAAGGGACTGTAAACTAAATTATTAAAGGGACTGTAAACTAAATCAATAAAGGGCTGTAAACTAAATCATGAAGGGGACTGTAAACTAAATCTCAAGTTAAGCCTTTATAAGAATATCAATGAGGAAGACGTCGCCGTCGTGTAATGTGTAAAAATCATCATTTTGCAGATTGAAAAACAATGATATCGCATTAATTCTTGATACCATTGTGAATGAGATACGACACTCCATATATATAGGGTTAAATTAAAATTACTTAATTACTGTAATTTAAGTCTGAATCTTATTTGAATACAAAAATATAAATAATTTCCTGAGTTGGTTCTACTACAGACAAACCATCTTTCCCTCTCACACTTGTTGTCATAACATCAGATTTAGGCCGAGTAACCTCAGGTTTAGACCTAGCCGTAGGTTCAGCTTTAGCTCTACTACTCGTCATCAGATCGTTCTTAGATCTACTCACGGTCATAGGATCGTTCTTGTGTTTCCCCGCGTTAATATTTTCTGCTGTTTTAGCTCGTGTACTGGCGGTTTGTCCATGATGAAGTCGGTTCACAAGACTATTCAAACTAAATTAAACATCAACGATTAAAGCTGTACTAAAGCTGTACTAAATCTGTACTAAAGGGACTGAGCTTGTAAGTTTCGTGAACTTCCATTTAAAGAGAGGCAAGCCGTACTCACAACGGTACCCTTACAGTTTTCGTCTGATCAAGAATGTGGAAGATATCATCGTTTTTATATCTAGAAATTGTTTAATTCTGAAAATTTTCCCAGTTTGTCTATAGGTTCCGTTGTGAATAACACGTAACACTCTTCTTTAAATTGAGGCACTGGGCGTTTGTCCAATAGGAAGTCAAACTTAATAAGAAATATTTTTACCAGTGCAGTGTTTAGGATTCATTATATTTTGAAGTGAGACAACGCTAATCAACAACGAAAACTTTTAATTTGAAGTGCTTTATCTTGACAAAAAAACAAATAGAACGCGTAATTAACTTGTTCAATAGAAATACAGAATAAGATACTGAATGAAAAATTGTGGAAACAAACCTATCCATCTTTCTTAAGCTAAATAAAAAATTCAAGTTGAATTACTTGTACTCATTTTCATCATTTTTATTATCAAATTTATAATTAGAAAAGGTTGTTCCAATTTTCATTTTTAAAAGAGTAAACTTTTGTTGTTGAATAAAATGATTGTATGAATGAGCGTACCTTGAATTACTGTTGGCTGATGTCTCAGATATTTCCGAGGTTTCACTCCCAGCCTCACTTCCAGTCTAAACCATACAGAAGGAATTAGTTCCGGATACTGTAGGGGTCGGTATATACTTTCTTGAAAAATCATCCCTGCCTTGAACATCACTTTTCCCCAGATATTTTGTATATAAATTAAAAAATATATGATTTTTAGGTTACACTAAAAAATAACAAAAAGAGTGAAAACCTAATGTCAAGTTTAATTTTCAAAAATTCATATTGTACTGATTTACAGTGCTGTGTATCAAAAATGAAGTCGTGATTTTTATTAAAAAAAGATGCAAAAACTTTTGTTGACATGATCTTGTGGGTATAAACATCTTTTAACAAGTTTTAAAAGGAGTACAAGCCAAACATCCAACTGGATCCTAACCACCTGTTTAAAAAAAATAATTAAAAATGTTAATTTTTTTGTTTTCTGGAATCTTTTAGATTTAATAACTATTCTTTATAATTTTAGTATATTTTTATTAATTATTTTAAATTGTGAGTATTATTATTAGTGCATTTTACAATGCACATTGCATAATGCGCATGCACAGTGATTAAAACGAGCATACACTCATTCATTATCAAAAAATAAAAATCGTTCAATCTTGTTTAGAGTATCAATAGAAAATCAACGATGATACCACCAATTATCTTTGTATCTTTAACCCAATTTTATTCTTTAATTATAAAATTTATAATTTTTGAAAAATCTTAAGATATTTGAGGAGATATTAATTTTTCATAAATTACACCCTCCTCCACCCAGATCTCCGCAGAAGTTAAGTATGTGTGTGGGAAGGGGGTATAATTCTTACAATTTTACACCCCTACTCCCCTTTCCAAGATTATTTTTAAATATAAACCCCTGGCTAACAGTTCTACATTGTAAAAAGAAAAGGAAAAATCACTTAACTCTACCTTTGATAGATATCGTTCTAGTCTGTTCTCCAATTTCCTGAGATCTTCTGTTAAACTTATACTCGGAGAATTCTTCCTACTCGGTATCCTTGAGGGTGGAGATACTTTTACATCCTTCTCCTCACCCTGTAGAGAACCCGGGACAGGTCGGAGTGGGGATACTTTTACATCCTTCTCCTCACCCTGTAGAGAACCCGGGGCAGGTCGGAGTGGGGATACTTTTACATCCTTCTTCTCGCCCTGTAGAGAACCCGGGACAAGTCGGAGAGGAGATACTTTTACATCCTTATCCTCACCCTGTAGAGAACCCGGGGCAGGTTGGAGAGGAGATACTTTTACATCCTTATCCTCACCCTGTAGAGAACCCGGGTCAGGTCGGAGAGGAGATACTTTTACATCCTTCTCCTCACCCTGTAGAGAACCCGGGGCAGGTCGGAGAGGTGATACTTTTACATCCTTATCCTCACCCTGTAGAGAACCCGGGGCAGGTCGGAGAGGAGATACTACTCGTTGTCGGCTTGGAGGATGAGGCGGAGACAGGTTCAAACTTTTAACCGGGCTAACTATAGAATTTGGTTTAATGACGAATGCTTGAGAGTTGGTTTCAGCTCCGGTATCGTTTTCGGAAGGTAATGATAATGTTTCTGAGTTGGGGGTTGAAACTAGGTGCATAGTTTCAGAACTTGGGGTAGAAACTACATCTACTGAACTAGACTGTGCATCTTCTGAATTGGGCTGTTTAGTTTCTAAACTTGAATTTGTATCTACTGAACTGTGCTGTACATCTACTAAACTGGGGTTTGTTTTTACTGAATCTAACTGTGCATCAACCGAACTGAGTGTTCTTTCTACTGAACTTGACTGTGCATCAAATGAACTGGGCTGTGCATTATCTAAACTAGATTGTGCGTCAAAAGAATTTTGCTGTACAACTTCAGAATTGAACTGCAAATCTCCCAACAGAACCGGTTTAACAAGCTCTACATTAGGTTGCGTATTTTCTGAGCTTAAATCTTCCATCTCTGAACTTATTATCTGCTCAGAGGATGATGTTTTTTGAAATTGTTCCATTTTTGATGAACTTTGATCTGAAACTGACATGGCCACTGTTCTTGGATTCATCAGAACAGTAGAACTTCTCTGAATAAAAAAAGACTATAAAATAATTTTAAAAGCTTAAGAAATGAGAAGATAACAGTAATAAGAGAGATAAAGAGAATTGTTTCACAATTTACCGCTAAAATGAAAACCACAAAATATGAGTAAAGTTGTAAAGTTTATATTTAAATACCTGATTGTCAGATTCACAGTGGTGCCCATAAAAAGCTTTGTCTGACGAAGAAATTCATGTTAAACTCGTCAAAAATTCATTGCTTTAAATTGTGGTTTCTTTACTGAAGTGACACATTTCTACTGCAGATCAAATTGTCACTTTTAAGGCTAGAAAAAATATTATTAATCAGATCAATGTTTAAAGGGTACCATTGTGAATCGACCATACCCCTCTTTTTAAATGACAGGCAAGTAGAAATAGCAACTTTTTATTGAGCAAATTTTAGAGATTGAAACGTACCTTTGGAAGACTTAAATCAATAGGTGCACGAGGTGCACTGTTCATTTCCTTAACTTGAAACCCCGCCTCTAAGCATTCCTGATTGCATTTAAATTCTTCTTCCAGATATTTCTCCATTTCAAGTTCAATCGAAGTTTTTCTTTTCTCTTCATCTCCCTCCATATCGTCTGAAAATGAATTAAAATCAATTTTAAATTATTCGAATATAAATTGTAATTAGCGCTCCATTTCTGCATTGTAAATAACCATCTAACCAGTTATTAAAAACCAATAATACTTTGAATTTGATGAAAATATGGATTATCTCAGCCTTAATAACGGTAATTTATCACATTTAAACATTTCTACTCTGTTCGCTGTAGAAGGATTTGCTTTCTATTCTACGCTGAATTCTCCGAAAATAAATTCAATAATTGAAATCAGCTGTTTTGGTTTAACTCAACCGAATTTCGCGAAAACAGATACTCAAACGGTTTTGAATGTCGTCTTTTTTTCGACGTTCTTTAACGTTATTTTATATTTATAAAAAGAGCTGGCTTCCTTTTTTCGTTAGGTCAGAGACTGAGAGGGGATCATAATTAAAGTTTTATAAAAATTTGACAGAAGACATATCATAGATTTACATACACATACATCGAACGTCCATATAAGATTATCTCCAAGCTATTAACGCACCAAATTAATCACATAATGCTTTAAAAAGCCTAGCATTTTTATATTAGCCTTATTAAATTTTTCAAAATGATTCATTATTCTTACATTTTCTAATTATAGTCCCGAAAATCGTAATTTAGACGATTTAGACCTATTGACGCTTTCATGATGATGGGACACTTTATTTGGGGAGTCCGCCCCATGTATACTCCCCCTACACTCCACCGATGTAGCGTTAAACCCAGACCGGGCGTTATATTTGGTCCGGTGTAGCGTTACATCCGGACCGGGCGTTATATTTGGTCCGGTGTAGCGTTACACCCAGACCGGGCGTTATATTTGGTCCGGTGTAGCGTTACATCCGGACCGGGCGTTGTATTTGGTCCGGGTAGTGTTGCATGTGAAATCATGTACAAAATTGATAGGAGGGGAAGGGAGGGGGGTATGCGGCCATGAACCCCGCAATATCCTGTTCGAACCCAGGTAATTAGCAGAACCCTGTTCAAACCCCGTGGAAGCCTGTTCCAACCCCGCGGAACCCTGTTCGAACCCCGCGAAAGACTGTACAAAAAATAATCTTTTAATAATAATTGATTTTAAAAAGGAAAAAATTCGAAAATTTAAACGTGCGGGAATAGGTAACAAAATTCTTTTAGCTTTAAAATAAAAATCAATGCTTTAAATATGGTCAGGTTCAGGAGAAGCTGTTTGTACTCATCCTCAAGTTTGCAGGGGAGTTTTTTTTCGAATTTAGTTTTGAGAAAACTGAAGAAGTCAATCAAATAACTTTGGGTTTAAATGTTTTTTTTCGGATGCCACTAAAAATAAATAAAATTTAAATGATCGACATTCAATTGCCATGTTTATTTATTGCACCCTGTACAAATGTTATGCAAAGATAAAGAGCATATTGGAATGAGAATGTTTGCAGGCAATTAAGAATATGCGACTATGAACAGTAACAGACTGCTTTATATTCTAACTTTATACAGTGCGAATCTTCGGATCCTGATCAGGGGGGAAAATATCAACCACAACCAGCAAACACGAATCATAATTGTTAACTGATAAAAGATTATCAAAAACTTCCAATCTCTGATTGGTTCACTGCGTTTCAGCAAAAAAATAAACGGAAAAAGAATGATTGTACATTTTTCATTTCTTAAATAAAATAGTTTATCAGTACTGCCTCCAAACTGCATTACCTTGTATTATCTACTTTTTCCATTTACACTTTTATTATGCAGAGTGTCCCACGACACATGACAGTAGCAAGACGAATTGAAGGTCGTTTTTGCTCTTTGAAATAATTTGCGACATTTATTCGTAAACCTTATTTAACCTTAAAGTTAAGAATTTTATCCAGATATCAACAGTTTTGGTTTTATTTAAAAACATTTAATTCTTAATATTTCCGGTAATATTGACAACACAACAAAAGCAGCCCACATTTTGTAAATGTCAGGAATAGTAGAATTTTGTGGTTATTATTACAAGAATAGTAAATGTGAAAGGTTGTTGACTGAATGTCACAAATAAACCAAGAGTTCTAAAACAACTTTCAAAGAGTTCTAAGACGACTTTAAATTGCTTCTGTCATGTTTCGTAGGACAGTAAGTACAGGGTGTCCCAAAAAACATGAGAATTCAGTGACGAATTCGATATCGTCTTTGTTATGAATTAGAATTGTAATACCTAATTTCAAAAGCCATAATATTATTATGTCTGCTAGAGTTTATTTAATGAAAAGGGTAAAAGACTGAAAAGATGTGTCTATAATGTCTCCGCAAGATGAACAGTGAATATAGACAAGTTTACTCTGTTTGTATACTGTAATTTTCTTGTTTTACTAAGTACAACCGGTTGCAGTCAAAACATAAACAAACAAAATGTAAACATAGCAGACGAAACTCTTACAGCTTTCTCAGTAGGTATCACTATACTAAATCAAAGAATTATTCATAAAGACGATATCGAATTCGTCACTGAATTCCCATGTTTTTAGGGACACCCTATATATTGTTTTAAGGTATTCAAGGCCCTTTCAAATTGCAACAAATATTTTGGCGTTAAAATGGATTTAAATTGTGAATTAAATTTTTTATTTTAAACAAAAATTAGAAACATAAATCAAAGATCATCAAGATAAGATTTCATTTTCTTTTTCTTCTTTTTCTTCTCTTTGTTTTCCTCTTCCGTTGGAGTTTCGGGGTTTTCCAGTTTAATCTTCTTGGTTTCATTTTCTTCTTCTTTTACCTCGGATTTTCTTTTCTCTTTGATATCAATTTCCTTCTTTTCTTTACCGACGTCTCCTAGGTAAAAAAATAAACGATAAAAGTTATAAATGTGGTTTGCTAGTCTGTCCAGTGTCCGTCTTCATCAAAAAAAAAAATCAAAACGGCTGAACCAATCAGCCAACATTACCCCAGGAAAGGTTTATTGATGCAGGGGCGTAAATAAGGATTCTGTAGGGGGGGGGGGGGGGGAAAATTTTTTGTTTTTTTTTGAAATTTTTTTAAACCCCCCCCCCCCAAAAAAGAAAATATCATATGTATATGAAATTATTGGTTTTATTTGAGTTTGATTTGCATTTTCCACTCATTCCTGGCATTTACAAACTCCCATCAAATAAACGGAGGGAGCTCAAGCCTACAACCTAGATTGAAGGTTTAACAGCGATTATTATTATTATTAATTCATCCCTTTCTGCTTTCACCTTGTTTTATATCCTTCATTATAGTTAGTTATTCATTTTACATTAACTACAAAGATCTTAAAAAAACTGAATTTATTTTAAGTAAGATAAAAAATAATAGTTTTACTCTAAAAGAAAGATGTTACTTTTTTAAATCTTTAGAAAAGCTGCAAAACTTTGAAAAAATATTGTCTTTGTTTTTTCTTATCTCTAATTTCTAAAATTTTCTTGTCGTCAATGTAGTATGTTAAGATCTTAAATAAATCTAATATTTTCGTGCAAGGTTAAAAGATATTCAATTTTAAAATCAAGTTTTCAAATTCTAGGGGGGGGGGAATAACCCCAATAACCCCCCTTATTTACGCCCCTGTATTGATGGTTTAAGATGAAAGATGTGGTAAAATATGGAAGGCTAGAGTCTGACTATGATAGTAGATGCTTAATATATATAGAACAATGGACACAAAGATAGATTGATAGATAGAAAATTGATCAAGCAGATAGAAAAATTGACACCAACCGAACTAGATAGATAGATAATATTTTATTTTGATTAGAAATATAAAAAAATTTAAACTTGTAAAAAAAGTGTTGAACTTTAAAACCAGAGCTTGATAATTCACAAACTCGAATTTTCAAATACCTATTTCTTTGAAACCTGATTGTGCAGACCTTTAATTTTTTATATTTAGTCTTTTTGGTCTAACAGAATTCAGTGTTTGAAATATCAAAGATCTACGACATCGGTTTCATAGGAGTTTGTGGCAAAACTCATATCCTTTGTGAAGATTTTATTTTGCCGAGATCAACTTTCTTGAGATCAGCTTTCTTGAGAGTTAAACAAAAGAAATCAACTCAATCGGCCACTGGACTTAAAGATACAGATCAATTGATTACTGAATGGATTAACGATAAAAAATTTCATTTTATAAAATAAAATACCTAGAATATCCTTAAATAGTTCCATATCTTTATCAGATCTGGTAATTATCTGGTTCCAATCTTCTTTCTGGTGTTTCCACACAGATACTGCACACTTCTGGTATACATACCTAGGCAACACAAGAGGTAAGGACAGTATGAATTAAAAGAATAATAAACAAAAGTATAGTTTTTTAACAATTTACTTAGAAAAAAGTTGCCACAAACTTTAATTTTTTAATTCTTACATCTTTGCAACCCAGACCTAAGATATTTCAAAGAAAGGGGTTAGATTATTTGAGTTTGTGACAAATACTCAATTCATTTTATTTAAAAATCTATATATAAAGAATTTCCAAAAAAGGGTGATCTCCGAAGTGGCGACTTAGGTTACACTTCAGGCATTAACTTTGTCAATTGTGGGATGAAGCGCTGTGGCTAGGATAAACAAATAAGGCATTTACTTTCCAAATTGATGAGATCTGAGAATACTCTCCTGCTGGGACAATTCTTCAACCATTATCTTAACAAAGATAAATAAAGATAATCAACATCCAACGCAAATGATAAAAAAAATAAAGATGCTGTAAGCGCAATTTCAAGTGTCCCCTCAATCTCCATGCAAAGATGGCAATGCCTGATTTACAACGGAATCCATTACACCTTAAAATCTGATAAAAAATGAAGAAGATTTTTTCAGACTGAAAAAGTGTTTATTTCTTTGAGTTTCTTCATTGCTTCTTGTAAGCAAGAAATGCAAAAGTCGCTTATGCAGAGAAACCGCAAATGAAAATGAACAGTTAAAAAAAAAAAAATTATACATATCTAATTCATACTTGATCAAAAACACTTCTAAGGTTACCGTTGTAAATCGTGCATTGTCAAATTATTGCATGGAGGGTCACTTGAAATTACGCTTACAGTCTCTTTAACATTGTTAGAAAGCATACATTTTTAATGTGTTTTATTTTCTACTAAATTGTAAGCCAATTTGTTCCTTACTTTTCCAACATTCGCTAACATGTTTTGTGCTTGAGTGATAAGCCTTAACATTACATTTTTATTTTAAAGAAGTGGTTTTGATATAATAATCGAAAATGTTAATTTTAACTTTTTAATGATTAAGTTTGGAAGAAAAATGTGTTAGTTAAAAGAAGATAGAAAAATGTATTTCCAAGATGCCCTTCTTCTCTTTATATTTTCCCATTTCGGCTGTAACACGAATTTTTACAAAAAGCCATCATCTAAAAAATAAAAAATTTTAAATTTGGAAAAATTTGGGTATTAATTTTGGCCTTTTTAATTAAATAAAAGTTCTGAAACAACCTATTCATGGTTATTAACAAAATTGTCAAGCATCTTTCAAAGTCCATGCTACATCATTTGAAACTACCAGTTGTACCCGGCGTTACCCACGCCCATTAGTTTGTTAGTGCAGTTGCCTATGTTGTCTGTACCCTTTCGACACTCTTAAACATGGTTATCCACAAAGGATGAGACTTCACGAGACGACTGTACGGAATGATTACTGTTGTTTCTTATATTAACGATTCCCTGCAACTTGTTTGTTTCTTTGCCAAATCATTAAATAAACCATACGATTACTATATCTTGATATAACCTAATATAACCTTGGGATCGTTATATCGTCCGGTCGTCTTTACAGATTCATTCTTTGTGGGTAACAATATTTAAACATACATAGGCCGAATTTAAAGAATTTAGGACGAGGCTTAAATTTAAGCCGCGGCTAAAATATGAGTGGTTCCACTTAAAATCGTATTCAATGTTTCAAGATTTAAGCCGGCGCTAAATTGAAACCGTTTTTTTTGAAAATTTGAGACGCGACTCAAATTCATTAAATTCGGACTCAGAGCTGTCTTTTTATATATTTTTACATTGAAAACGTATCCACCGAAAAAAAAGTAATAAGGAGAAGAAGCTAATATTTATATTAAATCAGTCAAATCGGGATCGTAAATCTCAGCTTGTTGGATCAAGAACAGAACTATTAAATCTGAGTACTGAAGGGGTTTATCTGGATATTTTGTGACCGGTTTACGACTCCAATTCGTGTCAGATTTGATGGAATAAAGCGCTATTTGTGGCAGATGTCATGGTCTTACAAACTATTTCGGTTCCCGGGGGCAGATGAAACAATTATAATTGTGTTATATCTAATTGTGATTTAGTTTGATTGATTTTTGTAATCACCTGCTTTGATTTTAACGAGCTTGAGTTCCAAAGAGCTTCGAAAGCTCTGGATCCATGTTTAGAACAGGAGAGAGAAACAAGTTCTCCTGCCAGCTTCCTCGCTAATCCTTCCCTGAAAATTGAAACGTTCAATCAACAAAACAAAAATAAACATTGGATGGGAAAAAGCTTTTCACAGCTATGGTTTCAAAGAAGTAGTCTGGGATAATGAAACACCGATTGTCAGAAAATATCCCCCCCCATTAAGTTGTAGATGGGCCCCCCGCCCCTGCTGGTTTACTAAGCTTGAGTAGTTCCTGGAGGATTAAACAAGGATACCTGAATAGGTTTACTAAACTTGAGTAGTTCCTGGAGGATTAAACAAGGATACCTGTATAGGTTTCCTAAGCTTGAGTAGTTCCTGGAGGATTAAACAAGGATACCTGTATAGGTTTACTAAACTTGAGTAGTTCTTGGAGGATTAAACTACCATGAAGATGGACAGGAAGATCCTCTGTCAGACGTTCAACAATCATCAACTAGACAATTGTTTATGATTATCAGTATTAGAATTTTTTTTCTCAAAATTTTTTTATTTAGAACAAAAATTTCACGGGCAACGCCAGGCCCTTCAGCTAGCTATTATTATTTGAAGACCCTCTAGTTAAACTTTTATCTGAGCAACAATGAGAAAGATATTGAGGATGAAAAATGTTGAATTCTGAAAACTTGCATCGAAAATCCGCATCTTATTCATTTCTAATCAGCCAAAGCTTTTGAGGGTATCATTGAGAATCGGATATACAATTGCCTGGTTTAGAGAAACATGGATTTCTCCACTAACACTTTTGCTCAGACAGAGGTTTAAACAAATAAATTATAAAAATTAATAAAAATATAGAAATGAAACCTACCTTGATACATGCTGGGGCAAGCTGTTCTAAGCTCTCATCACAATGCAAAGCTGCTCCAAGCTGTTTAAGAACAGCTGCCTGATCAGACTTCAACTTTACACAACTCTTCACCACCGCCAGCACTACTCCGGTATATCCGGAGGCAAGGATCTTCTCGACGCTGGAGGCAACCTCGGCCCAGCACAAGCTAAACATCTCCGCGGTCAGAATGTTCTCGAAGAACCGCTGGACGGCAAAGTTTCCCTGATCGTGGGTGCTGAGCTCGAGCAGGCGACCGTTAAATAGCTTCTTGTGGATCTTAAAAAACATCTTCTCATGCCCAGAACTGAACTCCAAAATACTTTCTAGAAAAGTAAATCATAAATAAATCTATCAACAAATTGTCAACAAATAAATCCACATCTCAATCAATCAATAAATAATCCAGTCGATAATAAATCAACAATCATTCGATAAATCTATTAACAAATGTGATGGGCGGATTTTTGGTAACTAATAATTTGGTAACTAACATTTTAGTAACTACCAATTTGGTAACTAATAATTTAGTAACTTGACATTTTGGTATATAACAATTTGGTAAATAACAATTTGGTAAATAACAATTTGGTAACTAACAATATAGTAACTTGGAAATTTGGTAAATTTACAATTTGGTAACTAATAATTTAGTAACCTGACAATTTGGTAACTAACAATTTGATAACTTGACTATTTGGTAACCTGACAATTTGGTAACCGACAATTTGGTAACCAATTGTTAGTTACAAAATTGTTAGTTACCAAAAATCCACCTATTACAAATGTGCCAAGAAACATCAATAATTCATTACACAAATTAGTCTATAAATTTATCAATGAATCACTCTACAGATCATTTAACAAATCTCTTAAGACATCAACCAACAAATCAGTCAATAAATCACTTCACAGATAAATCAATAAATCACTTAAAAATCCATCAATAAATCCATCAATAAATTAATCAACAAATCAGGCATTAAATCAATCAATCACCAACATTAAACAATAAATCAATTACCACACCAATCAATAAAATCAATTAACTTATTAATCAAACAACTCAATCTAAATATACAAGATAAGATAAGATCCCAACGATACTAACCCAGTAATCTAACGAGAGCCGGGTGTTCAATAAACTCCAGATTTGAGTAAAATATCTTTTCCAACAATTCCTTGAGGGTCGATTTCAAAACAGTACTCTGAAAACAAAATAATCAAAATCAAGGAATCAAGGGTATTTATTATGCATTACTCTCATTTGTTTTTTGAAGCGGATATTCTGGGAAAACACAATACCAATTGTACTTTGCTCAGAAAATTAAAATATTAAAACAAAAACAAATTATTGTAAATCAGAGGAACATAGAATAAAGGGTCTTTTAACATTTTACTATGACGTTAAAGCCCTAAAAAATAGTTTCAATCACAACAATATAAAGGATTGTAAACAAAGTCTGAACTTGCTGAGCAAGGCCTGATCAATCACTGTTAACTTGTATAAATTCAATACATTGGCTGCAAAATATGTCCATGAGATGTGTATTTGTACATGTACATGAATGCATTAGCTACACGAAATGTACATAAAAACCTTAGCTGCTATAGATGTACATAAATAAATTACATTTTAAAGATGAAGATAAATACCTTTGTTGCATTTAATGTACAAACAAACCTCTACTGCAATTAATGTACATTGTACATGAATACCTCTGCTGCTAGCGATTTACATAAATACCTTTGCTGCTCGAGATTTACATAAATACCTTTGCAGCTAGAGATGTACATAGATACCTCTGCTGCTAGAATTGTATATAAATACTGTTTCTTCTGAAGATCTACATAAATACCTCTGCTGCTAGAGATTTAGATAAATAAATGCTCGAGATGTACAATGTACATAGATAACTTTGCTGTTAGAGATGTAAAATACCTTTGCTGCTAGAGATGTACATGCGAGGTAAGTCTGTACAACGGCACTACACTGTTCTAGCTGGAGAAGACTGGGTTCAAGGTTTACAACATTATGATTTAAAATATCCAAGCATTCTTCCAGATCAGGGTCCCCTGGTTAAATAACATTTCATTAGGGTACCCCAGCAATAGTTTTATATCATAATAGATGGCACAAACGCTTAATTAATACATACAGGATATTTAAGGAACCTAAGGAAATTTTAAAATAACATTTTCTAATTTTGTTTTGTCCTAAAAATCCAACTTGCAATGGGTGTCGCACAATCTAATAGATTCTAGGTATTTTCCCAAGAGACAATTTCCCAAGCAGCAACTTCCCAAATGTTAAATATACCAAGCGGCAATTTCCTTCCTGAGGAGCTGCAGGCTACAATGAGAGCGAGGTGACTAGAAAAGACAAGGAGGCCGAGCGCTGGGCCAGGAGAGACTTGGGAAGTTGCCGCTTGGGAAATTGCACAGTTGGGAAGTTGCCGCTTCAAAAAGTACCCTTGGGAAGTTGCCGCTTGTTAAAAGTCTTTGAGAAGAAGTACCCAACATAAATCCAATATAATGTTACACACACTTTCCCGGAAAAAAAAACTTCAAGTGCTCTAAAAACCGTTTACAAAAGAAAACGTTTTTAAATTAGGTTAAGTAAATATTTAATCATAATAAATCGGCGCATCATTCAAACCCTAATTTAGTGCTAAATACGATTTCATGTTAATGAAAAATTCCTAGTTTAACTGGTGTTTTGCAAGCATCATCCTTTTTTAAAGGATTAGTATTTTTGCCTTATAAAGTCTCTTTAAAATGTAAGTGATCTTACAACTTGTATTTTGTAAACGTATGCTTTTAGTACACCATGCTAAATATGAGCTCTACAAAACTTAAGCAAAAAAAATTAACTTATTAGCATAACGAAAAATAACAATCTTCCCTACTAACCCGAAAACCTAAAAATACTAAAGCCTCTATAAAGGTATACATATTTTTAGCTATATTTACGTAAAAATTTGTATGCGCGGTAAAAAACTTACGTATATTTACGTATTTATCATACCAAGCGGGTTTTTTTAAGTGCTTAGGTTTTCCAGAAACGTATTTTTACGAATAATTGCGTATACTTTTTACCAAGTATTTTTTTTAAGTTTTAGGTTTTTATTTAACAAAATTTCTTCACTTAAAATATTGTATTTTTTTAGAGTTTATAAGTATGATGCAAACCTAAAAATAAGTATTATTTCGTAAATTTCACACCAAATAATTTTTCCGAAGTTTTTAATTTTTTTATTTTACGTATTTTTTCGGTTTTTTCTTTACTTAAACAATTGTATTTTAAGTTTGATGCAAACCTAAAAATACGTATATTTTCTTAGATTTTATGCCAACTAATTTTATAAGTGTCAATATATTCACGAGACCTCAACTGCACAAAAATACATTTTTAAGTTAGAATTTAAAAATATTTTATGACTTTTCAAGAGAATTGTTATGTAAGAAATTTAATGCAAACATTTTGGTGTTTCAAACTCTCGATTTTTTGATAAATAGAAGTTCTGCTTTAACAGTCTTGTAACAGGTATAATGGTAAGTGTATGAAGTATAACATATATTGAATACGTAATTGTTGAAGATACAAAGAAAAAAACATGTATGAATGTTGATTTAGATGGATATTGGATATACAGATGAAGGAATGATGATGGTGTAAATTTGTGAAGAAGAATATTGTATATTAGTTGATATCTATGAATATGGATTTCAGAAATTTTTAGAATTAATTGTATAGATATGAAGGAACAATGTGTATGCAAAATTATAGTCAACTTTCTTAACATTTTTGATTTTAGAACTTGAATATGCCTAAAAAATATGTACGAAACCTTTAAATTACAAAACTTAAAAAATGTTAGGATTTTTTCAAACATAAATCTACGTCCTATAAAATCCTGATTCATTGGAATTTTTAGGTTTTTTACATGCTCATTTTTACGCTTGTCATAAACGTATTTTTACGGATATAAAATACGTATTTTTACCAAGGAAATGGTTACGAAAATATGTAAGTCTTGCGTATGAAAAAATGCTTATTTTTACGTATTACAAACATAAAAATACATAAAGATAAGAATGTTATACGTAATTATAGGTTTTCCGGTTAGTAGGGTAATTAGAAAGTACAAATACTGCAAATAAAGAAATTTGTGGAAAAAAAAGTAAGATTTTAAACTATTTTATTTTATCTAATTTATATGTTGCATTATCTTTGTTCGCGGATTTATTAATATTTTTCGAGGATTTTCTAAATTTTTATGAAAATCGAAATTTTTAGAGGCAAACTTTTAAAATTCTGATCATCCGTAAACCTTCCCTGGGGTCATGAATTTGGGCCCGATCGGCTTACCCGTTTTAACGTTTATGGGTTACAAACAAACAGACAGACAGGCAGAGATTACTGCTGAATTCACCTTTAAACTGATATTTATTGAGTATATCATATCCTGCGGTTTGCTTCGATTCAAACTGTTTGCTTCGGTTCTTCTCTTTATTCTCAGGTCTCATTCCTAGACAATAATTTATTTTTAATAAACTTCTTGAACAAAAAGACAATTCAACGTGGCAGCGGCAGCGGAAAACATTTTAATACTCGATTCACAATGGTATCCTTTAAGTCCCTTAAATGATAAATTATATAATATTTTTTATGATAAAGTAATAGGAATACTGCCGCAAAGTAAATTGGTGATATCAGATTCTAATAGATCTGATCTGATAAAAATTGTGGAGGATATCGTCGTTTTTCTGACTGGAAAAGTGCTCCTTTCTGAAAATTTCTCAATTGTTTCCTATACGCAAAAATACGCAAGTCAATTTAGCAGTGAACTGATTGAAAAATCATATTTTATCAGGCAAAGATTTTAAGGGTACCATAGTAAATCGCCATTTTTGCATAAAGGACCGTTTTAAATTACGCTTAAACAGTCCCTTTAAAATTTAAATAAAATGCTACCTGTGATGCATTGAATACAGGTTCTCAGCAAATGACTGGCATAAACATTTGAGGAAAAATCCTCGAAATTATTTGCCAGAAACCTGCAGAGTTTCCTCAGCCAGGTGAGCATCTCCTCCCTCTCCTCCAGTTTGCTGAAGGCGGTCAGGATTGCCAGTTTTTCAACAACATGGCTTCCAAACTGGTCTGTACAGATAATCCTGAAAATGTAAAACTAACAGTAGAACAACTACACACGAGCTTAGCAATCAGAAATCTAGAAATCTTTTTTAAAAAATTCAAAAAATTGACTAAACGGCCTATTTTAAAAATCATTTTAGATCCTATTGCGGGAAGTTATGAAAAAAGAGATTTTGATTAACAAACAATCATAACCTTTTTAACCAAAAACAATCTTTCAGCATTTTTTAATTCAACCAAATGTAAAAAACTAAGCTAAATTTTTTCAAACCTATTTTTAGAGGTTAAATTTCTATTACAAAGAGGGTTACCCACAGAAGATCAGACTTGAATGACAGCTTATAACTTGACTTGAATATTTTAATATGACGAGAATGATTTGGTGTTTTGACTTGAAAATGGTTTGGCAAGAAGAGAAACTTTTATTTAACTGTAGAGAACCATTAATGGAAAAAATTAAAGAATTTATGAGTCGTCTCTTAAGGCTCATCCTTTGTGGGAAAACTGTGCATCTGGTTTGTATATAACCTAAGATCCTGTGTGAGTTCCTTTGTGAATTTGACCAGCACATCCGCCTGGGCGTGGGGCAGTAGAAGTTCTATAACACGACTAGCCAGCTGATTTCCAGCGAAATTTCTGAAAATTTCATAAAATATTTAATATTGATTTCAAGTTGTTGAATCATAACAATACAAAAGTATCCTAACATTTATAAGATAAATAAATCAATGGACAAAATTTCATTAAAAATAAATCAGTTTAATCTTATTTTCAAGCTTGCAAGCTTACAATAAGCAAATATTTTACCAACGAAAATGTTTAGATCCATGGTAAATAAATCGTTTGAGAAAATTTTTCGAATCTAGTGAAATGACATATTTCAATCTTATTTTTATTATGTATTTTAGTTATGTTTTGTTTTAAGATATCTTAAAGATAACATAAAGAGATGCAGAAATTTTACTAAATAATGTATATTTTATGATTTTTTTTATCTAAAAACCTCTCCACATAAATTGCGAATAAATAAATAATAATCATTGTCAATATACCTTTCATCTCCTTCCATTTGTTTGAAAACATTCGAGACAAAAATACTTCGTTCCTCATCTTCCTGTCAAATTAACTCACTTATAAATTTTAATAAATAAAATAGAAAAATGTTTTAAAACAGTCTAACGCGGAACAGGCGTATTTTAAGAGTGAATATGGGGGGGGGAGAATTTAAGTAAAACATGATAATTTGTACAGTAAAAATTAAGATCATTCTTCTTTAGAAATAAGTCTTTTTTCCCAGTTATAGCCTTGTAAATTTCCAGTTTTTCAAACAGGGGGGGGAGGGGGAGGTTAGAGTTTACTTAAGATGAATAATTTCAATTTCCTCGAATGGTGCTTTCCATCTCTCCAGTACTCTCACCAGATAATCATATTGATCCTATACATTTAACAAATATATTATGAGAATGCTCAATCCACAACGGTACCCTTAAAAGTCTTGTTTGGCCAAGGATGGAATAGATATTAATGTTTATGATTTCAAAAAAAAACGCTTATTTCAATTGTCTTCTCTCTACATTAAAAGTGAGTTTCGTGTTTCTACTGCAGGAAAATATAAAAAATCATTGTCAGAATTAAACACTTTTAAACCTGGAAAACGAAAATACGAGTATCTTACACATAATTCATCAGAGGTTTTAAGGGTACCGATGCTAATCGGGCATTACCCGTGGCCGCAGCGCTCGGCCCCCTAGCCCATCCTAGCCGCAGCGCTCGGCCCAGAAAGTGTCTTAACTAACCTAACCCGTGGCCGCAGCGCTCGGCCCCCTAGCCCATCCTAGCCGCAGCGCTCGGCCCAGAAAGTATCTTAACCTAACCTAACCCTAAATAACAAAAAAATAAATAATAATAAATTTGCTGAAAAATAAATGGTCATGTACAAAATTGATAGGAGGGGGGGGGGGCTGGGGGGGGTCCAAAAATTGTATACTAGGACAGACCCCCCGAATTTCCATTCGTATTAAAAAGAAAGCAAAAATACTGCAATTAATCCGTTACAGGCTACCTCGACTTTAAAGCACTGTTTTCTTTGCCTAATTAGAATAAAAAGGGAAAAATCTAACCTGGGCAATATTTGTCCCTCTCCCTCGTTGTCCTTGTCTTCCAAATTTCTTTGCTTGCTGGAGGAAAGAACGTTTTTTCTTACTCTTCACGTTCATTTCGTTATTATTAACTTCACACGTGAATGTTTTGGTTTTTAATGTTTACAATCGATGTACAGAGTTGTGAGCATGCGCAGTCTGAATTAAGTCGTCTTCTTTATTTAATTCAATAATTGAACGCGGTATTATGGAAGCATTGCTCATGGTCAATAGCTATGTACGTAATTTCAACCTTAATTTTTCAGAGTCCAGAGTGCTAACCATTACACCATGAAACCTTGCTTTTTTAGCTAGCTTCTGTGGCTCAGAAGTAGCGCTCTCGGTTTCAAATCTTGAAGTGGTTGGGTCGGGTCCCCGATCCCGCTACTTGCGGCGAGATGTAGAACCTAGTAAGTCATAACCCCGGAGATTTGCCACAAGTTTCTCAGTAAATACAGTGGAGCGGTGTACGTTGAGTACACTTCACGAAAACGGTGTTAAGTGTCAAATTTGTGGCAAAATTTCCCACCAGTCAAAAGGTTGTGCCATCGATTCTACACAGTGCAGTGGGCCCAAGCTGCTGGGTGGACGATGTCCATGCATGCACAATAGTTAGCAGTATATGCTCTTTTACTTGTCCTTACCTTGCAGAAAATTGCAAAAAATTAGTACTCATTGAAGGCTCCATAGAGCCGAGTACAAGTAAAAGGGCATTAGTCCCATCCGGTCCTCCCTTATGTAGCTAAGAATCTGTCTTATGACAAGTTTATAGAGCATATACGTTGATAAATCAATCAATCAATCAACCTTAATTTTTCAAAGATCTCCGATTGCTCCTTTAATCAGAAAGCCCAAAAATTTTAAAGAAGAGTTTTAAATATATATCTTTTTTAAATCGTAAATTACGTTTTCTTCTTTTGTTCTCTTCAATTCAAATAACTAGCTTCCGATGAGACAACAAAATTTTCTCAATTTTATCGTCGTTTTTTGTATTATTTTAAAGTAAGGTTAGGTTAAGACAATTTCTTAACCAAGCATTACGGCAAGGACAGACTAAAAACTAAATGATCATAAATCTACCGTGATTAATTACACACAACAAGTTACTGAGTGTTCTCCAAACTTTATTTTTTGCAGAGTTAGTTTTAAACAGTATGCCACAGAACGAGCATATAGAGCTTCACAGGAAGCGTCATGGATATAGACTTGATTATCATGAGAGGAAAAGGAAGAAGGAAGCTAGGGCGGTAAGTACAACTGCTCAGAGTTATATTTTTAATGAAAAATGCAGTTTTTTTATTGAACTAACTATATTCAACTTCTAAACAAACATTTTAATTACATCCTATTTAAAATCTTAATCATTGTAACTTATTTTATAAATTGGCCTTACATTAAAAAAGAAATTATAATATCATTTACTGTCCCTGACTGAAGCGACTGTACGCGACTGTATCCCAGTGACAATTCACAACAGTACCCTTGAATCCTAATTTTTCTGCAAAAAAACGCTTGCAGTTGTTTATACTTTTTTACGCATTTTACTTCCTTAGAATTAATAATATTTACTTTTAGGAAGTCGCAGAAAATAAGTTTTTACATTAGAGTTTTTAAACCGCATTTGACAATTTTTTAAAGGATTATACGTTAGTCAAGTTCACACTGTGCGCTTGGTTAATCGTACACTCCAGTTTCCCCACAATTTAAACATCATTTTATAGTAATCTGATGAGTGATGATCAGTCAGGAGTTTAAACGGTATCGTTGCAAATCAGGCATTACCCTTTGAAATCACGCTTACAGTTCCTTTAAATATTTTGTTATAAAACTAAATAAATATATCTTGTTCTAGGTTCACAAGAATGCTGCTGAAGCGCGTAAGGTTCGTGGAATCAAAGCCAAACTTCTCAACAAGAAGAGGTTTAGTGAGAAGGTTCAGATGAAGAAAACTATTAAAGCTCATCAAGAGAAGAAAACTAAAGGTATAATAAAATTTTGTACAATTGATGCATTAATGCTATTGTTTTGTTTTTCTTCATCACGAAAGAACTAATTTTTTTTTTGAGATAATTATCACCGAATTAGTGAAAAAAGATAAATGAAAAAAATATCAATATCTAATATGGCCGAGTGCACTAGAAAAGTAGTGAAACTACTATCATGTTACCAAGGTATAAAGGAACCACTAGATCATTTTTGATTTTTGAGATTTGATTAACTAATGTTGAATTGATTGATTATTAATTAAGTCATTAATTATCAATAAACTGATGATCATTGATGAATTAATTGACTAGTTTTGAATTGATTGATTAATTAATTATGAATCGATTTATTAATGAACTAATTGAAAGATTAATGAACTGATTGATTATTAAAAAACTGATTTTGTTAGTAGATAGATTGATCTCGAATGAGCTAGAACCAAAAAATGATTGGTTATGTTGTATCAACCAATTGATCGATTATTTACGATTTGATTAATTTTTAAGAAATGGATTGATTATTAACAAATTGATAACTAAGGTAAGAAGGATGCCCCTGCTGAGGAAGGTGCTGTTCCTGCATATCTACTTGACAGAGAACATGAAACACAGGTGCACCCTCCCCCCCTTCCTGTATTTATAGGTCTTAGTTTTACTCATTTAATTCAAATTATTAATTTAAAATGAAATGAAAATTATTAAATTGGTTCGTTTCATGTTTATTTCTCAATTGTTTCTGAAGCCATAGGGGAAAGTTTAATATAACTTTTTTACTTTTTAAACTCTTCTCCTTGTTTGAATTAAGATTTAACAAGGAGACTGAGAGAGAAAAACAATTTCTCCCTATTAGATCTATATATACCCTGATCTAAAAATGCCATTTTAGATGAATTGTTTTTAAAAATCTTTAATTTATTCAATTGTTTTATAATATTTTATTCTAGGCTAAAAACATCTCAAGCATGGTAAAGCAGAAGAGGAAAGAGAAGGCGGGAAAGTGGGAGGTTCCTCTACCCGCCGTCAAAGCGCAATCCGAGGCGGATGTTTTCAAAATCTTGAAATCCGGGAAGACGAGGCGGAAGGGCTGGAAGCGGATGGTGACCAAAGTAACCTTTGTCGGAGAGAATTTCACAAGAAAGCCGCCAAAGTTCGAGCGATTTATTCGACCCATGGCGCTTAGGTTTAAGAAGGCGCATGTTACACACCCCGAACTCAGGGTAATATACCTTTATTTTCCAAACTTAAATTTTTAAATCTTTAAAGATCTAGTAAAATTTGCTGATATCAATAAGTGTAGTGTTTATAAGATTAGTTGCATGCAATAAACTAGAGCTGATTTTACTATTCATCGGTAGAAGTTTTTATAGTAATCTTTTCTATTCCAGGCCACATTTTGTTTACCGATCATTGGTGTAAAGAAGAACCCCAGCAGCCCTATGTACACCTCCTTGGGAGTGATCACCAAGGGAACCATCATAGAAGTGAATATCAGTGAACTAGGTCTTGTCACCTCGGGTGGTAAAGTTGTGTGGGGGAAGTACGCCCAGGTGACGAATAACCCTGAAAATGACGGATGTATTAACGCTGTTCTTCTGGTAAACTCATAGATTAACCCATGAGTAAATATTAGCTGGTCAGAAATTTTTATGAAGTGAACAATTTTTTTCAGAAATAAAAAATGGCGCAGATTGCGCGTTTGTCGCGTCTTCACGTGCTTCAGCGGGAGTTCAGCACGTCATGCGTGTACATGATGCCACGTGTTGTTCGTAAAAATCCGCGCGCACTTGAGCATGATCCTGATGGGTTGGAGGAACCAGGAGGAGGAGGAGGGGTGGAGAAATGGACAGATTTTCTTAATCTTAAAAAGAAATCTGAGAGCATCGATCTTAGGGTCGGGTCCAGCTTTGGAAATATCAGGCAAGCTCTAAGTTACATTTTTGTCGAATTACCTAGAACCTAAATGACGGCATGAAGTAGAAACTTTAAGTTTAAAACCTTTAAACCCGGGTGTTTTTTAAAGATGACCATTTCGATACATTATTCTTTTTTTTACTGGATAACACAAATAAGAAGCCCAGGCAATGCCACGATACTATTTCTCGTTTTAAATTAAAGGAAAGCTGTTAAATCTTATTCAATTGTTCAGGATGGATCGGGATAATATACCTGAGTATCATGGACAGATGGATCCTCTGGACCCTGCTCCTCGTCCCACAACCAGGAATAGTCCCTTTATCCAACAGTAGGTGAATGGACTGTAGACTTATTTTTAAATGAACTTCTATTTACAGAGAGCCATGTCCGATTCGCAACGGAATCCAAAAAATCTTTTTATTACGAAGAATGGTTGAGAAATCCCATTTTTTCTCTTTGAAATTTGGTTACTTTCTATTGATTGTTCTCTATTGATCTGACTTGAGGATTTTTACTAAGCAATGGAGATCACAATAAATTGAACATGTCCCTCTCTTATTGGAGGGTTACTTGAAATTACAACGTTTAAAATTCCACAGTTAGGCCGCCATTGCGGCTAATCACAGAAAAGCCCAAAGTTAGAAATTTTTTAGCTCAAAATTAGAGAATGAGGGATTTGTTGAAATTATATGAATGTAATTTAACAACTTATATAATTCAGTTTTGAATTCTTATAAAGAATAATTCCAGATTTTTCGTTTTTTCCATAAATAGAAAGTTATTTTTTACCCTATTGAGGTTCCAATAGAGGAGAGGTGGGGGGGGGGGATGCAGCGCTATTAGAACTTTAAAAATTCTTATCTTAACATTTTTGCACGATAGATTTTAGGATAATTAACAAGGATCATGGATTCTTTATTTATTAAAGATCAAGTAAACCTGTCTGACTTCTTCTAAAAAATAACTGGCCTATTACAGTGAACCTCTGCAGGAGAGATCAGGAGAATCCTGGATTGAGAATTCCAGGGAGAATCAAGAGAACTCCTCCTCCCCTGAATCCGTCCTGTTCGACACGAGCATTGATAATCAGTTCATTAAATTTAAACCATTTAAACACAAATTTGAAATTAAAAACGTTAAAGAATCTAAAACTGTTAAAAATAAAAAATCTGAAACGAAACCGAAAGACGATCTCAATTATTTCGACGAGTTAAATTTCGGTGATGCACTTAGAAAATTTTCTCCGGAGTCTGTAAATACACCTCGGACGGTTGAACCCAGTCCTATTTCTCTCCTGGAGTTGGATAGAACGGATATGCATGAAATTGATCAGCAGTATATTGTGTCTGGAGTTTCCCCGGCTAGTTCTCCTGACAACAATCATCCTCCGCAAATAACATCTATACCGAAAGATCTGGGTAAGTTCCTAAGAACAGTTAATTTATCTTAATCACTTAAAGTTTTTTTATGACTAGTAAAATTATAATAAGTTTGATTTAATGAGAAAATATTTCAGGGGTGTATATTTTTCAGAATGATTTTTTATGATTTGGGAGAAAAAATGAAAATTTGAGAATCAAAAGGCATGTTTTTTTTTACTTTTTGATAATTCTTACCCAAAAATTGATTCATTTTCGCCGATTTAGCAATTAAAACCTTTTAACTTTTGGAGAAAATTTTTTTTCAAATAATATTTTTCGAGAAAATATACAGTACAATCCCCTGAAAATATTTCCTCAAAATGTTTGAATTTAGTTTCTCTGTAGCAATTCTTTTGATCTCGTAAGAAAATAATTAAATTTTTTGATTTTAGATTTCTTAGATCAGCAATTTTTCTCAGTCGACTCCACCTTTTCCAACCCCGAGGATTGTAAAACTCTAAATCTTCAACAAATTTCTCAACCAATCAAACCCGAGCCAAATAAAAGCAAACTTGAGATGCTGCAAGATATCTATAGAAGCAGGAATACAAACCAGGAATCTAAAATCACAACTTTATCAAACTTTGACGAGGAATTGAAAAATAACAAAAGTGATAAAACTCTAAATCTTCCGCCGGCGTCAAGGTCTCCAAAACCCGGTGAAGTGTTGAATAGGACGAAGACTAAAAAGAAATCGTCGCCTGCTCTGGAGTATATTAGGTCCTTGAGAAATACGGATACACCAGACGCAGTTGATGATAAAGGTAAAAAAGTGAGAAATAAAATAATGTAAGCAGATTATTTGTCATAAAAAGAAAAATTTGTCTTTTGAAAACGCAGCATTAGTCATTTTAGCAATCCATGTTATCCAGGCTGATGGTTGAGTCCCTTCTGACCTGAAATAATTATTTAAATTTTTCGTTCTACTATTTTTATCTAAATTTTTTGCTTTTACAATTAAACATGCAATGTTTGTAGTTGAAAGAAATATTTTCAATTTCGAAGGGACTGTGATATTAATTTCAAGTGACCCTTTATGTAAAGATGGCAATGTACGATTTACAATGACTTTGTGTTCAAGTATGAATTAGATATCCATGTGTTTATTTCTTGCTTTTCAGAAGCAACGGAAAAATCAGAATTTAATAAGTAAAAAAAAGACAGTTTCTGCCATATTCTTATCAGATAATGGTTTCAAGGGTACAGCTAGTTGTAAATCAGACATTGCCATCTTTGCATGGAGGATCAGTTAATAATGCGATGTTCAATCAATTACTCTTCTGAATACAATAATTAACTCTTTATTCCCCGGATTCTGTCCTGATAAAGAATGTTCTATCTAGGGAATCTAGGTAGTCCCGTTGATCAGATTGGAGTTGGTATTCATGCCCGCCTGTCCGCGGCAACCATTACACACAATACAAATATTACCAGGTAAGGGAGCATACCCCCACCCCCATCTCGATAATTATGCGCAATTTTGACATATTTTTTTTACAATCGAACTTAAAGTAATTGTACGTACAGTGTATTGCTGCATCAGTTGATAACTTTTCTTTGCGTTACGTACGTTTATTAAAAGTCCAAACTTACTTCTAGAAAATTTTAATTTTTACAGAAAATATGTAAACCATAAGTGTACGCTTTCAACTGAATGGTTTAACTTGTTAGTTTAAAAATGACGTGTTCTTTGAACGTGATAAAGGCGAAAATAGTGCACTTTTTAGGCAACCTTCAGTTTTTTATTTCGGGGTTTTCTCACTTCACAAAATGTTGCATAAACAGGAAATAAAAAAGTGAAGTGATAAGTGTGAAAATTGAGAGAGAGGAACTAAAAAGGATTTTCCCAGAAATCCAGAAAATAAAATAAAATTCCATTCAGTTCAAATTTTCTGTAAATATTCCTGATATATATTATTGATCAGGGGAACGGAAGATGATGGGATAAACCTGGAGAAGACAGAGTACACATCTGTCTCTAAATATTCCTGATATATATTATTGATCAGGAGAAAGGAAGATGATGGGATAAACCTGGAGAAGACAGAGTACACACCTGTCTCTAAATATTCTCCTCCTAATATATCAAAATATACAAGTGTAGAGATAGAAGAGTTATTACTCAACAAGGTACAACTTTAAACCGAGCTGGGAACTTTTGAATGGTGGATATCGGGATTAATGCTTGATCCACTCTTTTTCTTAATCTCCAGATTAAATATTGCTTGTTCTCCTCATGAATTTAATCTCCAGATTAATCAACAGATCGGGATTAGGGATATCACATTCTAAAGTTTTCAGCTCTGGATTCTCAGGATAAAAGTTCTTTCACCATCAGTATTTTCCCCTCCCAATTGCCAATTTTTGATTTGACAGAAAATAAATGAATGATAGACAAATGATAAAGTTACAAGGGACAAATTTATTGATAAACGAACTACAGGTTAAAAATTAAACTTTATCAAGTTTGAAATCATTTAAATACAACTCAGCAAATTTGAGAAAACCTAACAAATACAAATAACGCAATTACTAAAGACTTCATTACAATTGTCCACCGAATTACAGGTGACTAAAATGGAGATTTAAAGACAACTTATTTACAAAGGATTCAATTGCAAATAACCGTATTACTGAAGTATTTATTACCGGATTTTTCGGTCAGCTTTTGTAGAACAATGGAATAATGATTTTATATATTGAAATACTGATTTTTTATGGTGGAAATCTTTATTTTCTGCAATTCTCTAATCAAGAATTGCCTTTTCAAGGTTCTGTATAACAAGCATGAATTGCTGGCTCTGTGGAAACCCTATGGACTACCAATGTTTTCATCTCCTTCCGACAAACATAATTGTAATTTAGAAAAGTAAGTGGCTTGTTTTCATTTAAAACCACGTGCTAGTAGGTCGGATTTATAGTATAGCGGATTTGTCGTAGGTCAGAAGTGAAGTATAGCGGATTTTCGTAGGTCGAAAAATACACCACCATATAATCGTCTACCACTGTAAATAAAAAGTTTATTTTTACATCTAAAAAATCTAAAATATTAATAATGTTAGATATTTGCCATTCCTTGCCAGTCAACTTGGACACAAGAAGCTATTTGAAGTTCACAGAATTGATAAAACTACCACAGGTCGAGTTTATTTATTATCTCATAAAAAATGTAATTTGTGTAATTTATGAATATTTTATTATAATTTGTAATTTTTATTTTCCCTTGTACTAGCGATTTTTTAAACATTTTTATCTTTAAACCCCATTTGAGACAGCCTTTTATGATATTTGTGAAAAATACATTTAATGAACATGTCTTAGTATTCCTAGTAGTATACTTGTTTGCGAACTGAATTTTTTTTGGAAAAATTAACACCCTCTAACATTTATTGTAAATCATTATTTCAGGGATTGTATTATTTGCGACAAGTGAAACACGTCGTAAGCATTTAAAGCAGATGATCGCTGCGAGAAAGATCGTCAAAATGTATTATGCGATCACTAACGGTATTCCGACTACCAGGGAAGGGATTGTCAACATTCCTATTTCCGAGGGGAAGGTGGATGGTCGATTCAGACCTACTGTTCGGCCGGATTATGATGCAAGTCAAATTTTAAATAATAAATCTACATATCGCGGACCTGTCAGGTAAAATATAATTATAAAAATATTACGTTTGGATCAGGTTTTCTCACCTAAACTTTCCACATTCAAGGTCACTTGACCAAATTCTGGGGCTGTGACTTGATAAAAAAAAAAAAACCTTTGAGGGGCTAAAAGCGTAATTTTAAGTTACTCTCCATGCAAAGATGACAATACTCGATTTTCAACGGTACTCTTTAAAGCTTTGTCTGGTCAATTTGAATTAGATATCAATGTTTTTGTTTCTTTAAACTGTTTTTTTCATTGGCGGTTTTTCTGTTATTTTTTTTTAAGTATTTGAGAAACTCCACATTTTGGTTGGATTAAGGTTTTAAGTTTATCGTTGTAAATCGGGCATTGTCATTTTTGTATTTAGGGTAATTTGAATTTAATAGCTAGTAAAATGTTTCTCTGTTTCTTATTGATGAGAATAAANGGTTAGAATTATCAGGTTAAAATTATAATTTTTAGTCCCGCGGCAACCGAGTTCCGAGTTCTTTCTACCAATGGCTCTGCGGCTATGGTTGAGTGTTTAATGGTTTCTGGAGTAAAACATCAGATCAGGGTTCATCTGGGACTTGGTCTTGGGACACCAATTCTTGGAGACAGCAAGGTAAGGAGGAATAAAATGATGAATTTTACTTTAATTATAATTTTACTAAATTATAATATTTTCCCAATAATTCGTTTATTTCCATCCGTAATTCATTTATGTACACCACTTGGTCAAAGTCTTTAATGAGTTTGCAACTGTTTATACAATTCCATTGCTGCCGAATATACTCTTCAAAGTAATTTTCCTTCTGCCCATCTGACGCCATTTTGTTTAGTACTCGTGGGCTGATCAACTGGGACCCCCGCAGCGGGTAGCCGGAGATATCCTCAACCGTCTCAAATTGAAGCGTAGTCAAGCGCGGCATTTACCCATCTTTCTGCACGCGCGTAGACTTTCTATCCCTGAGATATTACCGGATAAGAAGATTACCATCACGGCGAGCAAACCACACTTTTTCAACAAAGTTCAAGAGAAATTAAAACTCTCTGATACCCCTATGCTGGAACGGTTTTGGAAACCTTAAGGTTAAATTTATTCTAAAATGATTTCACAGGTTTGAAAATTTATTATTTATTAAAGATCCAGAGATGAACTTGAGAATTTTAAGATGGGAAATTTGCAGAAAACAATGTTTACCGGTGAGAGAGGAGGAGGTGAAGGGGACCGGTTTAGGTCTGAAGCTGAGTACAGGGGAAGACAAATAGACTCACTCTACTCTAATGTACAGTCCGTGAGGTTGAGAGAGGAAGCGAAACCTAGCCATGAGTTGATGCTTCGTTCCATAAACTTCCACGGTCAGCAGCTCGGCAGCTTCATGAAGGAAGTTTCAAGAACCCTAGATTTAAAGAATGTTGATTATCAACTATATCACCAGGTTTGTCTTAAAGGGACTGTAAGCGTAACTTCAAAATTGTATGCAAAGATGGCAATGCTCGATTCACAGAAATATCCTTAAAAGCGTTGCCTGATCAAGTATGAAATAGATATGTTTAAATCTTAAAGAACTGATTATATTTAATTGTGGTGTCTACAAAAGTGTATTGCGCATTTCTACTGCAAGAAAATATTCAGGACATTCCAGAATTAAACAGTTAAAACGTAACAAATCGTCAGTATCTTCCACAAATTTACATTATTTAGAAAAGGTTTTTAAGCTATCGTTGTGAATCGGGCATTGCTATCTTTGTATGAAGAATGACTGAAAATTTAGGCTAGGTTTACATCCATTATTATGTTGATGATTTCAGTTTCTGCTAAAAACAAATATTTTAAAATATTTCTTTCATTGAAGAAAAATTTTCCAAATTGATTTTTTTTTGCTAATTATTTTCCTATGCATACATTTTTTATAATCTCTATTGATATATAGATAGACAGTTTTGTATTTTAAGAGCGAATACTTTTTTTCTCCTATGATTTTAATTTAGGACAAGAGCTGGGAACTTTTATGTTGGATACCCATAATTCCATCGTATTGATATCCAGCGCGGCACTTTTTAATTTTGGTCTTTTTTACAGAAATTCCTACTTACTCTGTTTCTTAATTCCTTTACTCTCCTAATGGCTGTTCAAATTTCCCACTTCACCGGATAATAAATATTAGATTAATCTGTAGAGTGTAGTGTGTGTAGAGTGTGTAGAGTGTGTAGAGTGTGTAGAGTGTGTAGAGAGTGTAGAGAGGGTTGAGGGTAGAGTGTGTAGAGTGTGTAGAGAGTAGAGAGTAGAGTGTAGAGTGTGTAGAGTGTGTTAGAGTGTGTTAGAGTGTGGTGAGTGTGGTGAGTGTGGTGAGTGTGGTGAGTGTGGGGAGAGTGGTGAGGGGAGATCTACAAAAGATCAAGATCAAGCATTGATCTCGATTTTAAGTTTCCACCTCAATTTAATTTTAAGTTAAAGATCGCCATTGTTGTAATTTATAGTCACAAAGTTTGTGCAATGTAAAATTATTAAATATAGAAAATGTCATGTATTTTGTTCTACCTAGATAGTTTTTTATCTTGTCTGATTTCAGAGATCTAAGGAGTTGAAACTTGAGGATCGAGGGAAACGATTGCTTCTCCACAGGTTTTATATCTAATGTGCTCATTGGGTAGATATTGAGGACCACATGGTTTTCATTAAGAACCATGGGGTTTTCAGTATGAACCAGTGGGTTTTCAGTAAGAACCATGGGGTTTTCAGTAAGAACCATGGAGTTTTATTAAAAATCATGGGGTTTTCAGGAAGGACCAGTCACTGGGTTTTCAGTGAGGACTACAGGGTTTTCAATTTGAGGACCCACAGGGTTTTCAGTGAGAACCCCTGGGGTTTCAGTGAGGACCACATGGTTTTCAGTGAGGACCCTATGGTTATCAGAGAGAACCATAGGGTTTTTAGTAAGAACCAAAGAGTTTTCATTAAGAACCACTGAGTTTTTAGTAAGGACACAGGGGGGTTTGGACAGATCTTTTTTCTTTTTCCCTTCCACCTAACCTTTATTTTAGAATCTGCAAATTGTTTCTCAAGGGAATTTTTTTCAGAAGTTTGTTTCCCCAATGGTTAGAGCGTTTACAACATCTTAAAGTAAAACTTGGTTTGTCTGGGAAAATAAGACAAATAAAAACTCGTTATGACTCTTTTTCCTTGGCTTTAGAATCCATCCCAATGTTTTCCCTTTTCCTAGTTATACATTTCCTTCTCAGGATTTTTTTAAGATTTCATTTTATTAGATTGGATTTTTCTGATTATTCACTATTTTTCTATTAAGGTTTATCGCCCAGAAAAGTGATGTTATTTTCCAACCTGGAAAAGGACTACGCACCAACCGTCGCACACTTGACAACGCGCACACAGATGATCATGCCGCGCTCCTGCCTCCTCTCGAGATATTTGCAAATATCGGCCAGGACGACCGTTCTAAGCGATTTTTTGATGTAAGCATTTTTTAATTGTTCTCTCGGAGTTGTACAAAGGATGAGACTTTAAAGACAACTGTAACGAAAAATTTTTTTTTTAATGTTGAAAATGTTCTGTACTCAGAAAACCTACATTAATACAACACATATTAGATGGTGTTGAAGGTCAATAAACATTCTTGATTCCCTTTCAGTTGTTAAGAGTTTAAGGAAATCAGCGAAACGCGTTTTTAAAGAGAAGATCAAATTCACATTTAGTAGGTCATTTCAAAAGATTTGAATGATTTAACAATTTTTTATCTAGGGAGTACCTAACATTTGCATTTTATAAATAAACGTTCGGCAATTAGCAAGTGACGGGTATTTCAAAATGGTAGCATGTCTCAAATTCTTTCATGTGGCTGAGATCTTTTATAATAGATCTTAACTAATTTAACCCAAAATATCTATTCTTAACGTGCTAAATGCACTTCAAAATATGCGGAAACGTAAATCTAATTGTAAAGCAGAGATCGTGCTGATAAAAAACGTAAATCGGGTAAGAATTGAAACTCTCTGATCCGAAATAATAATGCGTCAAGCCATCCCTTCAAAATATGATTTGATTTGATGATTTTATGATTTGATGATTTGATGATTTGAAGATTTGATGATTTGATGATTTGATGATTTGATGATTTGATAATTTGTTTTAGATTTTGCAAACCGGAGACACTTTGTTCTGCAGAATACAACAGAAGAAAAGTACAGGGCTCGTTCTGAATGTAATATGTTTGGACCCTCTCACTGGGAAATCAAGGTAGGGGTGGATTAGTCAAGATCTAATATTTTTTGTTATCTTCAAGTTAGGGTGTGTGTTAAGGTTGGAATATATATTCGGAGTCGGAGATAATCTGCAAAGCTTTACCCGTTCCTGATATTTTTTACTCGAAATTGATTTATTTTAAGAAAATAATATAACCTTGATTTAAGAATGTTCATATGGCTTTAAGTTTATGGTTGTTCAGTGTTCATTTTCCCAGTAAAACCTTTAATAGTATTATTTTATAATTCAGCATACAAGAAGAATGTGTTCAGGTATATTGAAGATATCCGTGTGCGAGGTTTCTGTCCTTCTGCTGAGATGGTTCCAGCCAATGATCCTAGGGATCCTGGTCGAACATACGAGACAGGAGATGTTGTTAGAGTCGCAATACTTGAGGTTTTAATATCGTAAACAAACGTTTAATATTTATACTGTAAGACTGTAGATTAGAAAAACTACCAAATGAATTGTGCTGAGTAGATACTTGTTACTTACTCAATTGGTTGATATTCATGCTAGTGATAAAAGTATTTTTGCTCATATCAACATGGCATAAGTCATTGCTTAAATGTCGTCTTTCTATTCCATAAGTTTTTTCGGGTTCTCACTGTAGTAAAAACTCGTGCATTTATGATATTTCTTTATATTTAAATCATTGATCTCCTTTTAGATAAAATCGAGTGCAGATAGTTTTCTAGCCGGTATGCTTACCGAGTCTCTACCCCCTGACCTCCAGAACATTGTCAAACTTGGACTCGTCGCAGATTCTGACCTCCCATCGATCCTCCGTAGTTCGAGACAGGTCGGTTTCAACATTATTATTTGTAATCTTCCCAATTTGGTCAGAATTTGAAATATTTAGTTTCACTTATATATTGATGTTTTTTTATTGACGCAATTACTTTTAGGCTCTGAAAACCTTGTTTGAAGCTGGAAATCTTTTTTTTTAGCCTTCTCTCTCTCCCCCTTGGCTGGGACAAGAATACAAGATCTTAAATCGTATATTATTATTATATAAATGTACTGTAGTAGACGTTAAATATTTGGTTATATTATGAAGGCCCTGGAAGGAGGATACCTGTATGAAGAGTTTGTTGAGAAAGGAGTCGGTTTCATCAATCCTAGTAATGTGATGCATCTCTGCTCCGAGCTTGGTCTAGAGCCAACCACAACCAGTCTCATGCCAGACCTGGATGGTAATATTGGATAATTTTAATTTCTGTTAATTATTTGATTGTGCTACAAAATCGGAAAAGGTCCTCTCTTTTCTAAAGCGTCAATATATTTATAATTTGTTTAATTAGACGTTTATATATTTGTAAGTTTTAAATATGTATACATTAATTCATATTATTTAGGAAATTACCCAGCAAAACATTACGCAACAGCAATGCGGAAAGCCCAGAACAGCAAGTGGGCCTTCAAGCACGTCCATCTTGGGATCAAGCACTTTAAGGAGAACAACAAGATTGAAGCTTTCCAGTGCCTCAACCAAGCTCTTAACATAGATCCACAGAACGTGGAAGGACTAGTAGCGCGAGGTTTTTATTTTCCCATTTTTTCATTGATTTACATTGATTTACATCTAAATATTGTTCTCTTTGAACTTGCTATATTTTAGGTGCGCTGTACGCTAACAATAACGGATTGGAGCGAGCTATTGAAGATTTTGAAGCTGCGCTCAAGATAAACAGTTCTCATCAGAACGCCAAGAAGTATTTGTGCGAAACTTTGATAGCTGTTGGTCGCAATCATGAGGATGATAAAAATGCAAGTGTTTTTTGTAATTAAATATATTATTTATAACTTTTGAATATTTATTTGCTGTTTTTTAGTTCATCCTGGCTTTAGAGACATACGAAAGGATTGTAAGACTGGATCCTCTACATAAAGATGCCAAGGACTCTATATACTACCTGAAAGGACGTCCTCTAGATGTGCCAGTGGAGGCCGGAGTGTCTAATATACCTGGGTTGGACTCCGACAAGGCGCTAATTAGTAAGGATAAGCTCAAGTTTATGCTGGAGGAGGAGAGGGGTAGTTCAAGGAAGGAAAAGAGACGGAAAGGTGAATATTTGATGGTCTTGGTTCGACTCCTGCAGTTGGAACTTTTTAAATGTTAATCCCTTCAGAACGCAATAATCTGTATCTGTTGTGGATTAAGTTAATTAATTCTAGATAGATTAAGGTCATAAAGAAATTGCAAATTATAAGTCAGCTTGTTTTCCAATTAAACACTTTCAACTCGCGCCATTTTACGCAAAAGGTCCTACCCCTGTTTATCTAAAATTTGATGGAAATGTATGCGAGGTACCATTCTTCAACACTTATGTTTCAGAGTCTGCGAGTAGTTTTGAGGATTCCGAGGATGAGAGACAGAAGTCTAAGAAGAGAAGGAAGGAAAGGCGGTCTCGTTCCAGTTCTTTGTCTCCACTGAGCCGGCGTTCAGGTCCCCAGAACATCAGAGCTATCTCTCCCTTCGCTTCCAAGCTGAACCCGGAGGAAGGAATGAACCGTCCCGCGGAGTTTGGAGGGTTGATAAAGGACGATCTCTACTCTAATCCTGGTCCGGACTTAGACAGGATGCCAGTTTCAGGTATGTGTTCTAATTTTTCCAACAAATAAGTTTATTTTCTTATTAGGATATCTTTCATTGACTTAAGCACATCATTTATATAGTAAAACTAGAGAAAAAAATCTGTTTGATGAATGGTAAAGATAAAAATGTTTGATAACAATTAGTAGTCCATGACTAGTAATGCGAAAACATGTATTTATACTAAACCAATATTTTCAAGTTCATAATGGAAAGGTAATGATGAAGAAAAAAAACAAGATATAGAACTACAGCATTCTTTTGAACTTAAAAGTTTTTTGATAATAGTGGTACAACGAACAAATATATGCCAGTCTTGTGTAGTACCTTTCTTTTTCACAACACTTGTAGCCTATTTTATTTTTTCAACATTAAAAATAAATCTATAATTTTTTGGAAAAATACTGACAATCCACCTCCAGTTATGTTGAATGTAATGTAAACATTAAATATGTAACTTTCCCTTCTTGAATTGGAGGGAAATATTCCCACAACCTCTATTTTGGAAGGTTTTAAAATATTTTCTCCTGAAACACATGATTTTGTACGTGTTTTTAAATATTATAAATAAATAATTTCTAAAGGAATAAAGTACAAATTGTTCAGGCCTAGATAGAAGAAGCCCAGGATTAGACGGTAGCAGTGGTATATCTATACCAACTTTAAACGCTGTCATGCCAATACAATCCTTGGTAAGAAATATTCCAGATCAGGACTCCATTTCATTCAACAATATCTAGACATGTTTTTGTTTTTCACATTTTACTAATTTGTTAAATGTTAAAACAAAAGATAACAAAGTTTCTTAAAGAATTGTTGAATTGTTAATTATGTTATTGTTTTGATTTATAGTTTGCTTTTTCAACATTTGAATTCTTTTGATAAAAAAAGAATTGTTGTTCGAATACTTTATCGGGCCAAAAAACCGGAATATAAGAGGGAATTGAAACTCCTGATCAAAGAAAGGATGTCTCAAGCAGTCCCTGCAAAGAATGATTTGATTTGTCTATTCCATTTTACTAGCTGTTCTTAGGTATTCATTTTATTTTATTTATTTGGCGTTTGATTGAATTTCGTACTAAAACTTGGGTGCTGGTAGCAAATCCTTGCATTTCTCATTTGACAGATTTGAATTTTAATCTGATTGATTTATTTGATTGATTGATATGATTGATATGATTGATTAATTGATTGATTGATTGCCAAAGGTTATGTCTCAGCCTCCTCCTGTATACGGAGTACCTCCAGGATATCCTGGATATCCTCCCCCTGTTCATCCTCATGGGTATCCTCCTCACAGAACACAGGCGGATGCAGACTACGATGATAAGGTGATTTTAGTGATTATTCAATACTGTTGATATAATTCAAAGTTACCCTCTATTACACACGAATATATGCTCCATTTTTATACCCGAATGAAGATTTAAAGGGTATCCGTGTGAATTGAATTTACGCTGTCTGTCCCTTCCAATAATTTGAATATTTAGGTTAAATGGTTTCTAGAGCAGACTAATAATGTTCCACCGAGACATGATTACGGATCAAGGTACGCCATCTTAAATAACCACCCACAGAAAATCATCTTTTATAATTTTTTTCTGAAATGATGATTTTTTTTTAATTAAAGCTTGTTATTTGGGGTCCTATTTTTCAGGGACATTATTTCTGAAATGTTCCTCATTTTTTCCCTGATCTTTTCAGAATGGATAGACATCGTGATCCAAGGGACAGACATGATCATAGAAGTCGAGGAGCAGATGATCGTAGTAGAGGAAGAAGTGATAGCAGGGAACGCGCAAGAAGTGATAATCGGATGAGAAGAGACAGTCTGGGTCGGGGAGACAGTCGCGCAAGAGCGGACAGCCGGGGTGACATTCGTGTGAGGGTAGACAGTCACGTGAGAGCGGAGAGCCGGGGAGAAAGTCGAGGAAGGGGAAGAAGTAGGAGCGGAGGAAGGAGTAGGAGTAGGGATGGAAGAACTAGGGATCCCTACAGTTCTAGTCGAGATAGAAACAATAGGAACGGATTTTGGCGAGCAGCTCATATAATTCGTAAAATAAATACTGTTTAAAAAGTTAGTTTTTCCTCTGCCGTTTAATCACGAAAGGAAAAATTATTTGTTCTTGTTTGAGGAAACATTTAATGATTTTAGTTGGTAATAATAATTTTTACGTTAATAGTATCTTAAAGGAATACTTGCATGTTGAAGCCCAGTTTTTCATTTAATCACAAGCTTAGTTTAAAAATCTGGTAATCTGTATTCATATCCCCCCCCCCAGCGTATCCTGGTTTTCAAGTACCCCAGCAGAGATAGGGTTAAAATAACAAAGTTGAGGACTTTGTTTTAGGGTTTTTTCTGCTGAAATGGGGAAAATTGATCTTTTCCCCATTTTTTAAATGGCCCCCTAACCCCACAAGGGCGGGGATAATTCTGAAAATTTACACCCCTGGGACTCCGGACTGGTACAATGAAGCTGAAAGCAAATCTTTAACTTTTTTTATTTCGAATTTTGATTTTTACTTGTTATTTTTCAGTGAGAAGTACAAGAAGTCGTTAAGTCCTCTCTTGGATATTCTGAAGGATGAAGAACTGAAAAAGAAATTAAAACTGCATTTACGAGGAGAATCCAAGGCCGGGGAGGAGAAGAAGAAAAAAAAGAAGAATAAGGTTAAAAGTGAATCAAGGTGAGAAAAAAAAAAACAAGGTTGTATAAAATTCTATTTTTTTCGGAATTGTTCTGGTTGAAAGAGGCGAAGTGTAAGCTTAATTTCATGAGACACTATGCATAGATGACAGTGTTCTATTCACAAACCTTTATCTGATCAATAATGTAGAAGATGTTTTTATTATTTCAAAGTGTTAAATTCTGATAATTTTTTATGTTTTCCTGCAAGCGAAATGCGCAATTAACCTTTGTAGAGAAACCACAACAATTGAAAATCATAAATTTTTCAGAATTATAAAAGTTAATATTCATACTTAATAAGATAAAGCTTTTTAGGGCACTGTTGTGAATCAGACATTGCCATCTTTACACAGAGGATCTTTTGAAATTTCGCTTATCCTTTAAGTTTTAAAGTATAAAACATGCATAGCTCCCTGGGTCTGGGTTCAGAGTAATACTGAAAGAGACAACTTGTGAGAAATTATTAAAACCCTTCCTCATTTCTGTAGTCGGAATTGTAAATCTTGTTTCTACGAAAAATCAGCAAGCTAAAAGTAAAACGAATTTGAAATTTATTGGTTGGTTAAATAAATTAATAAAATTTATAGAATTGTTTATTTACTGGTTCCGGATAAAAAAAAATCTTTGCTCTGCTAAAAAACATAGATTTCTTTTTGTTTCAGATCTCCCAATTCAGAACCTGAGAAACCTAAGAAAAGTAAGAAGGAGAAGCTTAAAGGAAAATCAAAGAACGGCGCTGCAGGCTCCGATACCATCGAGGTTCTCAGCAGTGATGAGGATCAGAAGAAGAAGAAAAGTAAGAAAAAGACGAAGGAAGATAAACTGGAAGACTTGAAGACGGAAGATAAATCCTCAAGGAAGCAGAATTCACCACCTAAATGGGATGAAGTCAAGAATTCATCCCAACGAAGTGATTCTGCTAGAAGGGGTCATGATAGGAGGCGTGACAGTTCTCCTAGAAAGCAAGACTATTCTTCAAAAAGACATGACGATTCTCCAAGACGAAGAGACGATTCTCCAAGACGAAGAGACGATTCTCCAAGACGAAGAGACAATTCTCCCAGGCGGCGTGATGGTTCTCCAAGAAGGAAGGACGTATCTCCAGTTCGTCGAGACTCCTCTCGCAAGAAGGAATCCTCCTCCCGTAGACGCGATTATTCTCCGTCGCCAAAACGTAAAAGTTCTCCGTCTCCACTTCCAAAGAAAACAAAATCCCCAACTAACCTCAGGAAAAACGTTTCGAGTAAGAATGTTTTTGATGAAGAACCTAAACCGATCCCAAGTAAAGGTAATATTATTTGAAATATGAAAACCGTTATGTTTTTAGAACAGACGATGTTAATTTTCCAGTTGTGTTTATTATTTTGGTTTTAGGTAGTGTGTTTGGACGTCTGGAACTACCAAAACCACCCAAGTCAGGAGGTATATAACAGAAGATTATTTTTTTTATTTTCTTTTCAACATCACGCAGTTCAGAGATATGGATTATGGAATTGAAAATGTACTTGATAATCAGTTAAAAATGATAAAACCTGAACTAGGAAGTATAGATAAATTGTTTATTTATCGGACACATGGACTAAATATTCTTTGTAAACATTTTTTTATGATTTTAGGTTTATGGATTCCCACTGGAGAAGATAGTCTTAGAGAATCTATTAACAAAGCAGTTTCAAAGTAGGTTGATTTATAACTACCGTCTTGTAAGTGTTTTCTCCAAACTTCAACTGTAAATAATGAATCAAAATATGAAATTTTTAATCTGAAATAAATTTTTTTATTAAAATTTAAAGAAAGTGATTAATTATTTAGAATGGAAGAAAGTAGGAAGAAGTATGCCAAGTCATCAGTTGACCCCCCGAAGTTTGATCCACATAAGAAGATAAGTATGAGCTCAGAGGCTCCACCGCCTGCGGTAGATTATGATGTTACCTACGATCCGAAAATAGGTAAATATCAGTTACATTTATCATAGGGCTACTTTCGTAAAAATATGGATTTTTTGTTGAGAATGGGGCATTGCCATATTTGCAAGGAGACTGGAGGAGTCATTTCGGCGTCACATGATTTGATTGTTGTTTAGGAATGTATATAAGAGTTCCTAAGATTCAAGTTAAGGAGAAGACTCCCCCCAGAACTCCTCCTAAGACCAAAGCCCAGAAGGTTGCGAGTAAGAAGAGTAGGATGGATCTGGAGAATGAGAAGAAGGAGTTCTCCGATATACAAGTTATCCGACCCAAACCACCAGTACAAGAGGAGAGAGTAGTCAGGTTGGTTTTATTGTAATTTAGGCTCCTGGATATAAAAAATAAGCCAAAAATTCATAACTCTGTGGTCTGTTTTTTCTTCCAGTTTTTTGTCTGATTTTAATTATTGCCTTGCTTTCCTGAACTCGATCACTTGTTGTTTGAACCGAATAATGATTTGACTAATCATGAACGGGCATTCAAATTCCTTGCACTTATTTTCATATACTTTCTCAGTACCCATTGTAGCGTCCAGTCAGGTTAGGTTATTCTCATTATAATACATAAATCATAAATGTATTATTTTATTTTATTTTCTTAGCTATATTTTGACTAATTTTGCGATCTGCGACTCATAAAGCCTGTTTTTTGCCAGAATCATCAGACGAAATTGGAATTGGAGAAAATGGAGCTAAATATCATCAAAAAAAAAATAAAGATTTAAGCTTGTTGGTTCCTAAAGTGAAACACTTGAGTTTTAAATCCCTGCTTGAATTGCAAGCTTTTTATTTAAAACGTAGTTATTACCATCTCAAGAGCTTTGTTCCGATTTAGTTCTTTTTTCATTAGTATACAATACATCTCCCCAAATGTTTAAAAATAGCTCAAATTTAATTATTTATCAAGTATTTAATTATCTGAATATACATGTTTGGACCAAAGATATTACTGAACTCATATTTGTTCTTCTTTTAAGTAAACGTAATGTAACTGTTTAATTAAAAAATATATTCACATATTCTTAGTTAAACACTTGTGGAATAAACCAGTTTTGTTGTTGTATATTTTCGTAAATTAGGTAATGGTTAAATATCTAATCCAGATTTAAAAAGTTGTAGTTAAATTGCCATGTCTCATGTCTTTATCTTTAAAAAAAAATTCTAATAATTCTACGCTATTTAGGTCCCTTGCTTCACCACCACGAAGTAATCGTAAAGATCACCATTCTTCAGATCGTCGAAGAAGCCGAAGTAGATCTCATGGCCGACGAAGCAGGTCACGTGGCCGAAGAAGCCAGTCTCGATCATATGATAGAAAGAATGGAGACCGGAGATCTGGAGATAAACGGTATGATGATGATGGAAGACGGACCGAAGGCAAGATAGATTCTAAAGGAACAACTCGATATGATTATGATTCCCAGATCACAGGTTTGAAGAAATCTAATTTAGGTTTTTTAGTTTTATGTAAATTCTGATTTTGATATAGATAACTGTTGGCTTTGACTGTTTACTGTTGACGATGCTCAATGCTCAATGCTAATGCTAATGCTCATGCTCATGCTCATGATATTGATATTGATGATTTTGTGTCCTACTCTGTTTGCATCTGAAGCTTTGAATTGGCAAATCTTTAAGATTATAAGGGCTGAGGAGTGAGGATAAACGAGAATTAAGCAACCTTTCAAATTTTCCTAAAAATCTGCGCTTCATTATTGGAAGTTAAAATATATAACAAAATGATATTGATTATATTTCTGTCTAGATATGAGGGAGGAGACTCAACGGTTAAAGAAGGAGCGGGAAGCTATTGAAAGGGAAAAGGCGGAATTAATGGCTTTGACCAGAGGAGAAGGGAACAGAGGTAACATGAAACTAAATCCTTATAAAAAGGTGATTGTCACTTTGTCCGCTTTCTAAAGTTAGTTTAACTGGATTTTATCTTAAGATGGTGGATGCGATTCATGAGTTGAAAATATTATTATTATAATATTATAAAGATTTATTCACACACAAAGATAAAAATACATAAATAATGGTGTAGTTTCAATTTGTATAAATTAATTTTTGAATATAAAGGTTTACAACAGAAAAAAAAATGCAAAATTATGCACAAATAGACGACATTGATCATTACTCATTACATAACATATTTAGCATTTCATTTATTACGTAACCATTGAATCCTTCAACATATAAATTATTCGTTCTTGTATTTAAAAGTTCTTGTAAAACCGGAACTTTCCACGCATGGACCAATGGGACATCAAAATATTTAATTTGTTTCTTAACTAACATTTTACTAAGGTCAGAAAGAGTTACAGAGTAATCATTTGCAATGGAAAATAAAATTTCTGCCAAGAACTGTGTTAAGGTCATTTTTGCATAAATTAGAAAGAAATCTAATGCAAAGCTAGAACTTGCTTCAATAGTCTCATAGAAAGACAAACATCTACTAGCTAATCTAAAATGTACCATCTAATAGATGACTACCCCAGCTTTTGTATATATCAATACAATAAATACGACGTTATATCTAGTTTTAATTTCTATAAAGTTTTCATATAGCGGAGACACAACTATGTAAGCAAAAAAAATAAGTTAATTAAAAGTAAAAATATTCTTGATTGTCTGAATATGATGAATATGAATATCTAGTGAATAAAAGTTTGTTAAAAAACCAATAGAACGTGGTCATTACTGTATTCGTGTAAACACACACTGACCACTGTAGATAGTTACAATTTCAACTTATTTCTTCTTTGAGTTTAATCACTAATTAACGTAAATGAAATTTATTTAAACTTTTAGAAGAATTCTCTGGTCTTGAGAATGTAATGGATACAGTGCTTGACGATGTGGGGTCTAAAACCAAGAAACCAGTATCAGCTGCTGAGCCGGTCAACATCAAACAGTTCCTGGAGAAGAAGAAGGCGGAAAAGGGGAGCTCCTCTTCCTCCTCTTCAAGAAAGGAGAAATAAAAATTTGAAATAAATATTTGGAAAAGATATTCGTATGTCCTAGCGGCAACCCATGTTTCAGAGTTAGGTCCCTTTCCCATCCAAAGACTTCGGCGCTTTTGGTTCAGAATGTGATCTTATCTAGCCTTACCTATTCAAAACTGTTGATTTATCATGTTTCGGAAGGATTTAGGATTTTTCTTTGGAAAGTTTCTCCTGGGGAGTTTTCCGTAGCAAGTTTCCCTTGGGAAGTTTTCCAATTGAAAATTTTCCCATTTTATTTTCCTTTCTTCAATCTTAGTGAATATTTCTGTAATCTGTATACATTCTCTCGAAAAGATATTCGTATGTCATAGCCGCAACCCATGTTTCCCATCCAAAGACTTCTGCGCCTTTGGTTCAGAATTTGATCTTTTCCAATTAAAATTTTTCCCATTTTATTGTCCTTTCAGCAATCTTTGTGAATATTTCTGTAATCTGTATACATTCTAATAAATTTTCAATGTGTTTTTTACATAGATTTTCTTTATTTATAGTATGTTTTGAACCCAAACTAGAATACTTTTCATTCAATTGTCATATTTTTTCGTACCAAATATGGCAAATTATGTTAAAAGGTTATTTGGGTAATGGGGTTTCAATTAGGAGTGTTACCAGAAAATAGTTACTAGAGAGGGAGAGAGAGAGAGATGTTATTGGTAACAGGTTAGGGGAGTTAGGGTGCACCCTAATTTAATTATATATCAAACTAATGTTTTATGTAGTTTTATAACTGTCACTACATTGAATAAACATTTAAATCTGAAAAGATTTCAAAGTTTCCCCGTTTATTTTGAAATTTTACTATAAACATAAGTATAATTTAAGTATAATCGTCCCTTGAATATGAACAAATGCTAACTGATGATTAACCACATTTGCAAGTGTTCAAAAACTTAGTTTTTCATTGTTTATGTACTTTTTCTTTTTATTTCTTCTAACTTTTATCCTTTTTTCTTATTTTCTTCATTTCTTCTGTTCTTGCTTTTTCTTCTTTTTTTTCCTTTTTGTTTTTCTTATTCTTCCGTAATTTCAACATGGCTGATTTGTTAAGTATAAAGTCAGTTATTATTTTTTTGTAGCTGTGGATACATTCTAGAACTGCAACGCGTAATTGTTTCTAGAAAAGTTTCAAAGGAGTATTTGGCATAATACTGCTCGATTTTTCTGTGAGAACATGCACCATCTTGGTGACGACTGTACTGTCTTAAATGATCTGTCATATGGAAATTTTTACCTATTTAAACGGTCACATTCTACTATCTTTTTCTCTTTTGGCCCCCCACCCCCCTCCCTCTTAACGATTAATCTAGATAGAAGTGTTTATTCCTTAAGCTCAATAGTTTTGAGAGCGAATTTAAAGAATTTGATCCGCGGCTTAAATTTGAGACGCAGTTCTCAAATAGGGTGTTGGTTCCACTTAAAATTGTATTCAATGTTTCAAGATTTAAGCCGGCGCTCAATTGAAACCGGTTCTTGACGGATTTGAGACGCGACTCAAACTCATTAAATTCGGACTCTGGAGAGGACATCCTCTAGGATTTCAACCAGGCCAGATAGTAAAATCATTGCACAGAAAGAAAACCATGTATGATTCTGCATCAAAATTGAATACCTAGATGAAAACTTTAAAATGCGATTAACAATGAAAACCTGCAAAAAAATTGGGGAATCGGAAAACGTAATTAAAAAAAACAATGGTTAAGTGTATTTCATATTGTTACAAAACAAAAAGTTTTACCAGTAACTTATTAAATCTATTGATTATTTAAATGGGTCTGTTTTAAATTCAAAATTGCTGTGTTTCATGTGCATTGGACTTGTGTCTTAAGGTCTTTTTTTATTTTATTTCATTACTGGAAGCCAAAGTTGATTGCTAAATCGAGTATCGACAAGTTTTGTTTCAACTTACAGAAAAGATAGAAGAAATAGTTTTTGACCACTTCTCATTACATTTAAATCTCTGTTAAGTGACATGTCTCAGACTTAATATATGTATGAAGGGTTAAAAAAATATGACCACACAGCTGAACACTTTAAACGTTCTTTTCTTCACCGTAAGAGTTCAGAGGGAAAATATGTTCTCTTCGTGAAAGAAAACCCCAGTGTTATATTCTAAAAATCAATTGTTATAAGAAACCCTAGTCGTACGTGTTTCTAAAAACCAATCATTAATTGAAAATTATTATTTAAAATCAGTCTTTTAATCGAAAAATTATTAAAAATACGTATTTTTACATGATTACATAAAATATCATCGGAAATAAACACGGTGACATGGATCTACAATCTGAGCGATTCCAGAAGGTGTCATTGGCTTGGGTTTAAAATAGCTTTTGATCTGTTATCAACCCCCTTCCCTTCTCCCCATTGTGGGGTATAAGGGGGGGGAGGGTGGCAGCAATTTTGAGTTTACACCATAAACCTCTAATTAGGACTTGATCGCATAAGCAATTTTTTTTTGAGAGAATATAAAATAGGACGAAAAACTGGTGATTTCCGTGAAAACTCTTAAAATGGGTATCTTAAAAACGAATCAGAGACAATACCAATACATGGACGCCGGGCGGGCTTGAGATATATCGATGGGAACCTCAGAGTTTGACATATATAGGTGTGGGCACATTATCCCCACCCTCTCCATAACAGATTATAAACAACAAATATTTTACAATTTCAAAAACTTCACAGGACTGTACATGCAGGATCTATGAGAACTATGGGAATCACAGAGTTTAAAAAATATAATTATCCACATTATCCACACACCCCTCCATATCAGAGCATATAAAAAACAATAAATAAATAACGTTTTCAAAAACTTTGATTGTACAATTGACCTCCTTTTATTGTAGCCTTCGATTAACCACTCTCCCTCATACTGACTTTCGACCGGAAATGGTTTAAAACAAGAACAACTTTTACCGGAAGTACTGACGCACGCAAATATGTAACAGTTACACATTTTTTGCGTTAAGATATTAATATAAATATTATTTTTTTTTCCAATCAAATGATGACTGAATGAGCAAAGAACTATAGGAAGCATTGCGAATTTTACTGTGCTTTTCAGATTGATTTAACACAACAAATATTTTTCCTCATTCGGTTGTAAAACAAGATGAAAGAAATCCTTAATTTTTCTGATCAAAAATCATTTTTGATGCTTTTAAGAAAAACCTAAGAAATGGTAAGTTTTGGCAAGAGTGGAAGAAGATGCCCGCCTTTTTAGACAAAATGACTCTGGAATATCAAAATTGCCAATTTTCCTTACATCTGGTTAAAATGGAAAATAGTTAATGGACTCAAATTAGAAGTTAATGGACATTAAGTGACTTTTCTAAGGCTGTACTAAAAAAAAATATTGAGGGAAATTCAAATCTTAATATGAATAGAAAAACATTGATATGGAATGCTATACTTATACATTCTTTTTGACTAAGCAACAAACATTGTGACTTAGAATAGCGACTTAGAGTTGTGACTTTAGAATTTTTAGAAAAGAAGAACTGAAATATGTTTGTGTCTTAATGTAGAATGCTGTCTTTGAATATTTAAAGTCACATTGGTATCAAAGTCCTACTCTGTAACAAAATTGAACAAGAAAAATGTGACTTAGACTGATTGGGACTGAGAAGGTGTCTTTGTGACTCAGAAAGTGTCTTAGACAAAGCTGTAACTTAGAATTTTGACTTAGAAAGTGTCTTAGTCACAAAATGGTCTAAAAAATAAGACTTTGAAATTGTTGTGACTTAGAAGTGTGACTTTTATGGGCCTTGAATATAATTTAGCCAGAAAACTGTGATTTTGACATAAATGTGACTGAAACGCTGTTTTAGACCTTATGAAGACTTAGAATGGATTTTAAACACGATGATGCCTAAAAAACATGACTCATACATGGTTTTGAGTTAGAATTGAGTCTTACAATGTGTCTATGACATAAGTGTTTCTTAGAATTGTGACTTGGAATTAGTCATCACAGACTCACAGTTGTGACTTAGAATTGTGACTTAGACATAATTTGGTCTCAAAAGTATGACTTTGATGTAACTGTGACTTAGAACTATGATTTGGAATATGTCTTACCATGACTTAGACATGGGTTTGAGTTAGAATTTGTCTTAAACTTTTGACTTGGAAAGTGTCTGAGACATAATTATGTCTTATAAGTTTGTCTTTAAATAGTGACTTAGAATGAGTCTTAGTCCTAGTGGTGCATTGGAATAAGTCTTAGAAAGAGTCTCGGACACAATTTGGTCTTAAAAGTATATGGTTTTGTCTAAGTTGTGACTTTTGAGTCTTACACAACATTGTGACTTTGTGACTCAGAAAACCGTCGATTTAGTCTCAAAATATGTTGAAAGATATTCCAAGGGGTAACTCATTATCATCGATTAATATAAACCGCTATAAAGGTTTTGGGGTCCAATTGGTTCAGCCGTTTTTAGGTCTATTAATAACAAACAATCAAACAGAGACAACAAATTTGTTGGGGGCGACTAGGATTCTACAAAAACCCCATGCTCTGTTTTTCGCAAAATCAGTAAGTACCCGTGCATATATATAATATATATATAGAAAATAGAACGGAAGTATTTTATCACGGATACACCCTTACCACCGGCACCAGGGGTTAATAAAAACTTAAATTAATCAATATTTAATTAAAACCATATTTTTAGTTGTTACAAATTACTATAAACCTGATTCTAATTAACAGTCAAATCGAAAGGGTTTTATTTGAAAATCTTCATTTTGAATGACGACGTTCATCATATAACATCATATTACAATTATTTTGAAAAAAATCATAAACTAATTTAAAGTCTATTTATCCCTGTTCATTGTGTAACCCTGATTACAATAATGATATGCTTAATTCCAGAAAAAAATTGCCAATTTCAAATAAAAAAACTCTTAATTTGCAAGAATTCAAATTTGATTTGAGAAATGTTTGTTTGAAAACTTGAACAAACTTCAACCTTTGCAAGCTTATGTTGTAAAACTTTGAAATTTCAAACTACTTCTGGTAGATTTATCAAGCATAGTTTTGAACATCAAAGGTTTACACCATCTGGTTGCAAAGATATTTGGATTTATTTAGATAGTTTTTAGTCCCAGTTTTGATCTTAAATTCAATAATAATTAGAAATAATAAAACTAATGCCTGACTTACAATGGTTTTGTCTGATGAAGATATGAACATATTATATATCAATGTTTATAATTTTAAAACTGATTATTTTCAATTGTGGTTTCTCTACAAAAGTGACTTGCGCTTTTTTACTGCAGAGAACCAATTAGGTTAATGTTAAACACTTTTAAGCCTAGAAAAGCACAATATCTTCCATATTATTGATCAGATAAAGTTATCAAGGATATTGTTCTAAATCGGGCGTTGCCATTAATTATGATATATAATTATGAAATATTCACACAACTTATGTTATTCAATTCTTAGTAATTACGATTTTTTTAAGTTTCACTCTGATTGGTAAAAAAAAATTTCTCTAAAATCCATGTCAGTTTAATATTAATTTAAATTAATAAAATGTTGTGCTTGAGGACAAAACTTTTGTATCTTAAATCTATGACTTTAGCGCTCAGACGGTTTCAATTCCACTGAATTTTCACATTTTACATTCATTAATTATCTTTTGGCAGACATCTATTAAAATAATATATATCTATCACCGGATTTAAACTTAAATTCGTCTATTTAAAAGTTTACAGTGTGGATATCAAGTTCATGTTGACGAAGCTAATTCCTATCCGAAATAAAAGTTTCGCCATTCATTGACTCTGTACTAACCAGGGCGAGATGTGTTTGCACGGTGGTCCAAAAGGAGCAAAAATCGCTGAGAATTTTTCCAATTACTGTTTTTTTAACTGAAGCTGAGAAGAAGTGCATTGAGGAACTATAGTGAACATTTCTAAGGCTTAACACTATAGTTTCAGTAGAAGTAAATATTTCCATTTACACTGTTTAGCGCCGATATAAGGATTTATCTCTAATTGGATAATGAGATAGATAGAAAGATAGATGTTACCGCCATACTATTTCTATTGGTTCAGAAAAGACAACAAACACATGACTGTACCCTGATTGGATCAGGCGCTAATGGACTCGGCATACTAGAGTTAAATGTAAGTTGGTGAGGCAAAATTAAAGACTTAGGCGTTGTGACACTTAAAAGTCGACCCGTTTTTGAAAATTAATCTGTATCTATAATGTGTTTGGTTTCTTTACTTTATAAGGGTTTGGTTTAAATTCAACAATATTTCATCTTATCCGCAAACAACAAAATAATAAAGAGAAACCAACGAAAAATGATATTTGCCATAAACTCAAATTTTCTAATCCATATATATATTTGCAACCTGGTGGTATGAACCTTTTTATATTTTAAACTTAGATTATTTTGTCTAACATGATCATGGTTTGAAACATCTATGGTCTATCAGAAGGTTGGGTCGCAAAGATGTATATAGATTAGAAAATTGTGATTAATTTCGAACCCAGCGGTTGAAAGCAAAAAAAAGTTGCTGAACAAAAAAACTTAAACCCAGCAGTTAAGAAAGAAAAAAAAGTTGCAAAAACATTTTAAAGCCAGTGGTTGAAAGAAAAGTTTTCATGAAAAACTGTTCAAGTGGTTAAAAGCAATCCAGTGGTTGAAAGCAACAAGTTCTTCAAAATCTTAAACCCAGCAGTTGATAGCAAAAAACTCTATTGTCTCAGTGGTTGAACTAATCAAAAATATTTTAAAAGTTGTTATAACTGTCAGCGAAAATGACGATTTAAAGCGGTTGAACACATTTTAAATTTGAGAAAAAAATATACATTTCTTATTTCTAGACTGCGTAGAGTCTAGGCTAGATTTCAACAGCTCCCGTTTTTTTTCTCCGAAGTCTCGTGGTTAATAAGTCAAATTTTGACCAAAAGTCATTCATTTGGCGTACCGTCTCATATTATGCTTTGTACAGTCTGAAAGTGTTTTGTACAGTTTGCTCTAGCTGCTTAAAAGACGGCCTTGTATTTGAAATGACCCGGAGTATAAAATGAGATGGAAATAATATAAACCATTAAGTAATCAATTCAATACTTCAAACATAATCTAACCAACTTAGGCCAGCGTGAATAACGTTAAATCATACAATATACATGCATATATTGCATACACCGCTTGAACCATCAGCAGCTACAGAACCGACACGTATCTTTATATAGATAATTTTCACACAATTTAGAAAGATTACTTACACTGCACACAGTACTTTACGCTCTCTCCGTTCTATCTATCTATCTGCTAATCAACCAATCTATCTATCTATCTATCTATCTATCTATCTACGTCTCCGACCGAGCTTCTGAATTATACCTTTAGTTGTGAGTCAGTCTCCGGACGTAACGCCGGACATTAAAATACGGTCCGGTGGTAATAAGAAGCTGTCAAAACAGTATTTTTACACTAATCATCTTCTAAAATATTTCTTTATTTCTACTCAAAAAAAGGTAGGATTTACATAAAAAGTTGCATTACAACGTTGTTGTTTCTACATTTAACATTATTGACATTTTTAATGGTTTATATTTTCGTGAGGACATATATGATATATGAAGTATTTGTATTTTTGATTCTTTATATTTCAGATGTTAATATGAGTACTGATGTGTACATAGCTAGACAAGTGTTAACCTATCAACACAATTATTGATTAAAACAAGCAAAATAAATATAACACTTTTTATAAACTAGTTTAAGTGACAACACAATCAATTTCGACAAACTCTGACGCGAGAGTTAGAAAACACATTTAAGTGACAAGTGATTAGAGAGTGACGAGGAACTGAAAGTTATGTTGGAGTGACTGAGTGCTAAACGAAATGAACGTGAATTGGGACTGTTTTGGAAATTTCAACTGTCTCAAAGAAAGGTAAAAGTGCTGAAATCCAAAATGTCGAGTGTAAATCAAAATAGAATGGCGTAGATACTGAATATTTTTGAATAATTCAAAAAATAATAAAATATTTTTCATAAAAACTTTATAACTCTTATTTTAAATCTAGATTTAGTAACAATTCACTAGTCAGCAAAGCGCTTAACAATGTATTAAATAACGTTTAACTGGGTTCATGGGAGAGCCCTGGAGGGGTCATGAATGATATCTCTATCTCTTTAATTTTATTAATTTGCAACCTTGTTATTGAGTCATGATTAGATCAAATTTCAAAAGAATTTTTTAATCAATTTCATGCATCCTTCATTATCACTGATTATTAAGTATCATCATCATTCTCATCATTCGAGTTTCAATAGGAGAAGGGAGAAAAATGGCGGAGAAAAAGGGGAAGAGAAGGTGGGAAGGTGGAAGAGAAGGGAAAAAGGGCGAAGAGAATGGATCGAGAAGGAGGAAGAAAAGAGGAAAGAAAATACGGAAAGGGGATAAGAAGGGGAAGGGGGGATAGAAGGAGGAAAGTGGGAAAAGGAGAAGACGAAATAATGATCGGGACTAAGGAATTGATTCTTTGCCAAAAACTCAAATTTTCCAATCCCTATATCTATGCAACCTGGTAGTTACACCTTTGATAGTTCATTCTATCTATAACAATTTATAGTTTTAAATAGGTATACGACATTAGGTTGCAAAGAAAAAGGGATTAGAATACCAAAGTTTGTGGCAATTACTCAATTCTTAGATGGAGAAGGGATGAAGTACTGGTGGGGATGGCAGCGGGGTTATTAGATGGAGAAGGGATGAAGTACTGGTGGGGATGATTTCATTCTATCTATAACAATTTATAGTTTTAAATAAGTATACGACATTAGGTTGCAAAGAAAAAGGGATTAGAATACCAAAGTTTGTGGCAATTATTCAATTCTTAGATGGAGAAGGGATGAAGTACTGGTGGGGATGGCAGCGGGGTTATTGAACTTATCGGAGAATAAAAATTGATGGTGGTAAATATCAATGCAATGCAATGCAATGATTGAATATCGATCAGGATTGAAAACAAGGAAATAAAAATAGGAAAGCAGGTCGTAATGTTGAATCATTATATAATGCTTTATGGTGGAATTCTTTTTAAACAAAAATAAAAAGTTTTTTCATCATTTTTAATCAATATTTGAATCATTCAGCGGTTGTTGTGTACATGCACTAAACAGAAAGCAAATCAGCTTAAAGGGACTGTAAACAAAATTTCAATTCATGCCCGATTCTCAACAGCTCCCGATAACTGAGGGGGGGGGGGAGTGTTTATGAACACATTAATAGTTTCACCACAATTTGGTAAATTATATTCTTCCATCAGACTTAGACATTATTGAAACTTTTTTCAAGAGTAGGTCACTGTTATAGTTGGCCCCGGAGAAATTACAGGGTGTCCCACAGTTTTTTTCGAACTTTCATATAATCGGTCTTAACAAAACAGTACAGAAAATTTTAGAGAAAATACAGGGTTCCTTAAGAATTTTGTACACATTTTGGCGTAAAATCTTAGAGATATAACACGCTCTTTGGCTTTCTGTAGACAAATCAGACAATTAACGGAACTGAGTTTGGCTGAGGTTTAGACCCTTATATATTTGCAACCCGATATCTTAGACCTTAGATATTTCAAACTATGAATTCTGTTAGATAAAATAATCTTAGTTTGAAATATAAAAGGTTTACACCATCAGGTTGCTATGACATAAGGATCAGAAAATTAGAGTTTCTGTAAAAATCTCAATTTCTGTGTTGAAATTGTATGCGTCGGTAGAAAATTTATTATAAGAGGTTTTTGTATTGTGTTCTTTTGCAGCCCAGGGTATACTGCGGCTTACAGCTCAGTATCTAACAGTATTATATTTATTTATCTATTTTTCCATTAACCCTAAACAGACAGGAGGGGGGACATTCCCCCTTCTCTTTCAGTCAAAGTATGAAGAAGAAATAGATGTTTAAAACCCCTGCACTTTTGGAAAAAAGGTTAGATAAGTCTGAAAAGAAGTTTTATCTTGGTTTCTCCAACATAATTAATTGCATAATGATTTTTATTATGCAATGTTTATCTGTTGCAAAATATCAATTTTCTGATAATAATTATAATTTTGAAGAAGCCAGGAGAGCACTTGTAAGGTTTGTATCAACATTACTTACACTTTGATTCTTCATGTTTTAGAAAACAAGCAGAGTAAAGCTGGAAGCCATGTAATGTAACACTGTAATTACCCATCATTTCACAACTTAAAAAAATACTTTTTGGCCAAAAATAAGAAACTTTAAAAAAAACTTTTAGACAATGTATTTTTTATGTGACTTTTGTCGGTTTGACTGAATGATTGAAAATTACATAAATTCAAGAAGACTAATGCATTTATTATTGAAATTTATTTAAATATAATTTTATATTATAGTTAAAGGACTAACAATTGTTTGAACTAATGTTCATTTGAACTAATGTTCAAATGAACCAGACGAATTTTTGAAAATTTAAAAACAGATTGTTGTGCATTAAACTGTGTTGGTTTATTTTCAAACGTATTTTTCCAAAAGATGATCAACAAGGAACTTAAATTTTCTGATCCCTATATATTAGCAACCTGATTGTGTAAACCTTTGATATTTCAAACTTATATTATCTAAATGAATTCTTAGTTGGTTTGCAAAGATATATGGATTAGAAAAAAGTCTCTATTCTTTCTGGTAAACCCTGTACTTTACGGGATTTAGAGTTAAAAGTAAAGTTTTTAAAGATTTGAATAATATGGATTAAGGATTAAAGATTTAATTAAAATTCAATTAATAATTAAATTCATTAATTGGCTTGAATTATTTTTAAGATAGGGGTGAGTTCGCCAAAAAAAACGTTTTTTAAACCATTTTTGACATTTAAAAATTCTCTTTTATTATAGACATTGACAATGATATTAAAAGGGCAGTTATATAAAAATAAATAAAAATATAAAAAAGCTCTCCCCTCGTCACGCCTTGTTTGCAGATTACAAAAGTCCCTGGTTCCAGTTCTATTGCAACATTATAATATAAATTAACAGAACAGTTACTTTGTTATCTCCCTCCTGAACTTGTTGTTCAATTATAGTTCCTAATTAATAAAACATGTCTTGTTCGTTAATTTATAATTTCTCAGACAGTTTTGTTAATTATTAAAGATAAAATGTCCCTTTTCAGAAATTAAAAATAAAAAACCTGAAAACGTATGTTTTGATTTAGCAAAAAAGTAATTTTTTATTCGAAACATAAACTATTATTCTTTATACTAATTGACATTAAATTACATGGCTGAAAAAGCAATTTTAAAGGTTATTCATTGTTGGTAAAAAAAACGCCCCCCTTGGCCCATACCCCCTTCTCTCCCCTACTCATCTTCGGTTAATATATGTCTATATTGTGTAAATATTAAGAAAATTACTATTTTCACATTATGGTTTTCAACTTGGTTTTTACACTTTCAGCGACGAAGGATTATTGTGTTGTGGTTCAATAAATAAAGGAATATCCGGGTCCTATGTTTAGCAGAAAGGAGGGGGAAGGGGGGTGAAGGGTCTTTATTTATTCATGCAACAATTATATAGAAGATTTCTGCTCAGATTAAACAAGAATTTGCCCTAGAAGTATCGGATTTACGTAATTTTTTACGTCATCCTACATTTTTTTTTCATTGTTAAACAAAAGTTTGTTTTACAACCCTTTTCATCACAAATAACAGGGTTTTTAACCAAATAGATAGAGATGAACGAACACTGATAAAAATGAGTAAAAAGATGACTCGGAAAAAATGGAATGATTGAAATCCAGTTAATTTAGCAGCTAAATTTTATTGAATCAAATCAAACCGTGAACTGAAAATGTCAAACAATTAAGTTTAATCTAAATTTTACTGTTATGGTTTTATAAAAAAGGTTCTTTAAATATAATTCATTAGTTCAATTCATAATGACAAATACTTTTAAAGTTCATTTCATTTGATTAAATATTAAGTGTCTTTTTTTCTTAAAATTTATAGTTTTTTTTAGGATTTAAGTTTATTTTCAGAAAGAGACTGCTGACGTATTTTCCTCGCATTAAAGAGTTGCATTCACGATTCACAACAGTAGCCTCTTGGGTTTTAAACTTTATCATAGCAATGAGAAAAATATCGTCGTTTTTTTGGAAAATTCTGTCAAATTACTTCTTTGCTGCTTCTTTGCGGCCCAATTCAGTTTTATAATGAAACCACAATTAAAAATCTTCAATTATTAATGGAGGGTCCCTTCAAATCATGAGAGTTTCTTTCGGAGAAAAGATATCAGCTAAAATTAAGAGTTCAGAGGCGCGGTTTAAAATTGAGGCGCGGCTGAAATATGGTTGGTTCCAATTAAATTTGTATACAATGTTTCAAGATTTAAGCCGGCGCTCAATTGAGACCGGGTTTTGGGTGGATTTGGACGCGACTCAAATTCTTTAAATTCGGACTCAGAATACTGAAATAGTTAACATTATAGGCAAGATTCTCTTAGAGGACTGTTCACGCGTTCTTTACGAATAATATAAACTACTTAAAGGGACTGTGAACATAACTTTAAGTGACAGCTTTGTGTTGTCAAGCATAAAATAGATATCTATGTTTTTTTATTAGTGGTTTCTTCACAAAAGAGACTTGTGAATTGGGCAATTCTTGTTTCAGGATAAAATGGAGAAATTAACAGACGTAAAAACTTTCTAAACAAATCCACATAATTGATGAAATCCTTGTGAATCTCCCATGCTCCCTTTTTTAACGGAAAGTAACTTAAAATTACGCTTACAGCCGTTTTAAGAATGTTAACAAATACCTACACAATACAATTAGAATAAAAAATAGGAATACTTACACAATAGTATAGGTAGAATAAAAAACGGACTAATGACACAATACATTAGAATAAAAAGTTTAGGATTACTGAAAACTT